GCTGGTGGGAAGTGTCGTGTACATTCTTGTTTTACTTGGGGTGGTGGGACGGGGGCGAGGCGTCTGGGAGCCTGCGAATTGTTTGGTTTTGAGCGAATGTAACGCGACCATTTCCCAGAACGCGTTGGGTTTCAGCCCCGCCGTCTGCCCCACACCCTCATGGCCACGGCAAACCGGTCCCTCCTGTTGCCGCTGCCAGATCATCCGTCGGCTCAGCCACTGTTATTTATTAACTTTTTTTTTGAAAAACTATCACTGCTCCTGCTATATACTTGTTTTGTTGTTGAAAGAACAAAACGCGCAACTTTTTTTTACGGCCACATTTTGCGTTCGCAAATGTGGGCCCGAGTAGTTCGGCGCAAGGGGGCCTTGGTGGCAATGGTTGCTGTCGGCGGTTCCATCTCCCGGCGCGGCACCTTCAACGGTGGCGTGAGGTTTCTTCTTTTATTGGTTTTAAATACGCCGCTGATACTCTTACACACACAGACACACGTGTTAATTTAATTTTAAAGGCCGATTCGACCAAGGGGAGACCCAGGACAGGTTCAGATGTTTGCCGCTGAACGGGTGTTGAACCCAGGTTGTCGGGGGCGTGGCCGACCGCCTTTGTCTCCGCGGCGCCGAGTATGACCGCATCACACTATATCGGCTCACAGCTTTGGGCTGAGTTGACCTAGGTGAAGCCCAGGACCAGTTTGAGATGTTTGCCGTTGGCATCGCTTGGGCTGCCGGGATCAAGAGTTCGCATCGTCTTCATCATCGTTATCATCAGCCATGATCTATCCACTGCTAGATGAAGAGCCTCCTGAATCCATGGCCCTCTCGTTGCGATGCAGCACAAAGGAAGTGCTCCCGAAGCAAGGGGAGATATTTGTGAGAAAGAGGCAGATGTGAACACAGAACATTAAACGCGCACTTTTTTTTTTAAACACGAAATAAATAAGCATCCGCTTAAGTAAAAAAAATAATTTGTATACTTCCCCTACAGCCGCACGGCTTTCTGGATGTGCGAAATTTCCAGCCGCATCGGTTAAGCACAAGCAAAACTCTGGGCCGGTTTCGACACGCAGTCTCATCATCAGCAGCAGCTGTTAGGCTCGCTTGAATCAATACTGGCGAAGTGCCGATGTACAATCCACACACGATTCACCAAATGCTCAGAGCTCGCGGTTAAACGATAGGAGCCGAACAAGGAAAGATTACCAGAGACTCCAACGGAGAAGCGATAGAATGTCGCGGCGAGGGCAGTGGGTGGACGAAGCAGAACGGAGTTTGATGATTTGTAATTCGCAAAGGGTCGCCTTTAAAGAGAAAGACAGAAGCATAGCTCGCGGTGAAGATGGAATCTCAAAACGAGTGGAATTTGACGCAAAGTCTTACACAAAGTTACCTAAATATACAAGTCTTACACGGACACGTAGCCCACACCCACATGGGGGTTCTGCGTTACTGCGTATGCCGTTAGACGCCCGCATACGAATATCAAGTCTCGCACACGCTGGAGCATACCGTACATAAAGGTATGCGCACAGAGGGAAAAAACACGAACACACACGGTCAAACTCAGAGAAATAAGCAGACATACAAACGTACAGATAGACGCGTGCAAGGACATGCACACACAGATACAACCATATACACGTACACACAGACCGTTACACACACACTCGTACAGATACAAAGACGCAGTCACACTCGCACACACTCATACCCATACACACTCATACCCATACACACTCATACACACTCATACCCATACATACAGACACACTTTCACAGACACGCACACGAACACGCTTTCACAGACACGCACACAGATTAATAAGCACGCTCACAACCGCAAACAACAACAACCATTCGCCTCTGAGTGGAGGTTACATCACGGTAATTGTGTCAGACTAGGTGCACTTTGAGGCGACGTGGGTAGGTTCGCTGGAAGCGGGGAGGAGAGGAGGTCACAGGACAAACCCCAGGTGTTATGGGTTCAGCGTCCCGGTCTCACGCCCACTCTCGCACGCTCACTCGCTCGCTCGCCATGGGGAAACCACGCACCGGTCGACGAGAAGTGACATCTGTGGGCTTCACTCGAGCGTGGCTTTGTTACCCCCCGCCCCCCCTTCCCCCCGTGTCTTCTGCGGGTTGTGTAACTTGTTGTTTGTTGTTGTTGTTGTTGTACCCCGTCCGCATCCACGATCGTACGAACAAATGTATATAGAACTTGCTCAGTCCACTTTGCCGCTGTCACGGGATCCCAGGCTCCAGGGGCAGGTGGAGTGTGGGGGGCGACACGGGGGGATGGCGGACACTTTCTCTCTCCCCTCTCCCGACAACTGTCTTGGGGCGGATCCACAGTCGGTATTCATTGATATTTAGACCCCACCGAAAATCCATTGAATGCTTGTTTTCAAAATCATTTTCGGAGCCCTGTTTCGGAAGCCTGAAACGTATCACGCTGCCCCCCCCCCCCCGCGGACTGCCCCCCCCACCCCTGCCCCTCTTCCACCCCCCCCCTCTCCTTATGGATAGTTTTCGAGAGCTGCTCTCAACTGTCACTCAAAACAAATTTGAAAGGAAGGATGCAGCCATCCCCCCCCCCCACCGTACCCTCCATCAAAGTTGTACGTACGTTGAACTTCTTTTGCACCGCACGTAGCCAGCCGTGCTAATCGAGAGCTTCTCCCGATTCTCGGACGAGACTCTGATTCCAACACCACGGCACGCTGGTTCCGTGTGGGTCGGAGCGAGCGCTCGCGCCCCCGGGCCGTGCACGACGAGCGTGCCACCAGCGAGCGTGGCGACTTCACGGACTGACGAATGAAATGTCTCGCCTATTGTTGCGTCCAGGCGAGGCTATGGGTCACGGTTGTCCTACCTGGTTGCTACGCACTAAACTGTGCGCTGTCGCCCGCCCGCCCGCCCGCCCGCCCGCCCGCCCGCGCCCGTCGGCAAACCTAGAGGCAGTGGTGGGAAGGAAGTTCCACATTCCTACTGTGATAGAGCCCGGAGTCCATTAACGGGAGGAAGGGAGAAAAAAAAAAAAACCTCCGTTGACGTGCCCCCACAAAGCGGTACGAGTTTTATCCACCGTGGCGGACAAACGGTGATGATGGGCTGTACAGAAGCGCGGGGGGGGGGGGCGGTGGAGAGTCGCCGGGTTCTCTCGCTGCAAGCCAAGCGTGCCCCGACGCGTGAACCGGCCTCCAAATTACCGCCGAGTCTGCGTGTCGGTCGGGGTCGGGCGATTTAAAAAGAAACCTGAACTTGGGATCGGCATGCGTGCACAGGTGCCTTCAAAGCTCTCCCCCCGCCCCCCTCTCCTTTCTTTTCTCTTCGGCCTCTTTTTTTCTTTCAACCTTTTGGAGTTTTAATTCAGCTGCCGCTAATTGGCCTCGGGTGGTTTGTCCTCTGTGTCCGCGTGACGCTCGCAGTGATGAATTTTGACAAAGATCCTCCGTCCTCACACCCCCCCTCCACCGTGTAGCGATGTTTATACACCGCGCCAGGTACTCATTTGAGGCCGAGTAGACCTAGGGGAGGCCCAGAACCGGTTCAAATAATCGTCACTGGTGTTGGCCGTGAGCGGGAATCGAACCCGGTTCGCCGGGTCCGTGGTGCAGCACGCTAACCCCACTACACTACCCCTCCCCACTAAGCACGCAGACACATATAAAGACACATGTACACAGACACACACACACCCATAAGCACAGACACGCACCCCCAAGCACAGATGCGCACACACACCCATAAGCACAGACACACACACACGCTTAGACGGGCACGCACACGCGGACCACCCCTTATCTTCCCTCTCATTCCTCACCGTCCCCTATAAACGCAGGCGGTAGTCAGGTGCGATGCGATCCACTGGCGTGCAGCGATGCGCCCGACACGGGGAACAAAGCCGCGTGCTCGACTCGTCACACGCGCGCCGCGGGCAGTACGTTAAGTGCGCGGATGGTCGGAACGATAATACCGATACCTGCCGTTCGCCACTCGGTGACCAGTGAGGTCACCGTGGCGCTTGTGCCAGGCCAGGTGCACTTTGAGGCTGTCGCATGAAGTGTCTCTCACTTGCACGCAGTCTGCAACCCGCGTGCCACTCTTCCTGTGCCTCAATACAACTTCAAGCCTGCGCCCTTTCTTTATTCAATGCTTTCTTGTAAATATCCACGTTTCCGATCCACATCATAGCAAAGCGTGCTAACCACTGCACCGCCAGTCCTCGCTCCTCACTCAGCCTTAATACACGTAAACCAACAACATCGGTGGACATTCGCCACTTAGTGGCGTTAACGTCACCACGGCGCTTCTGCCGGGCCGGGAGGTCACGGGACAGACCCAGGTGGCATGGGCTGACTGAGATGACTGGCCGACGCACTCGCTGTGCCCCCTACCCTGCTTAAGGCGCCACCCCCCGCATGGGCGCTCGCGGATTGCCCCTGCGCTCCTGTAGCCGCCAACCTCCAGCGTTCGAGCGTGTCCAGAGGGCCGTTCGTTTTGTGAGAGCGCGTCCAGTATTCGCGCAGTCGCTGCGGGGGGTCAGCTTCTGAGATCCAGCGACATTGGACGCGGTTCAGGCTCGTGGGCGTCATGGTTTGTAATGAGACGGTCTCACGAACGTTCCGGGTGCGTGGTCATCGGTGGCTGCGTTGAAAACCATCTCCTCGAAACAATTCCGGTCTCCCCGCAACTCGTTCTACGTGAGTCTGCGAGTCTCCATGTGAGCCTATGGTGACGTCGTTGAAACCATCTACCAGCGACACTTGAGAACCCGGTTTATTCCGTGGTCACGCGACTGAATCCTGGATTCGAGTTCAGGTTCGCAGCGGTGCCGGCTCCGCGTTGGTGTGATCCCTGAGTCACGCAGCCACCACGGGCTATCATTTGACCCCATAATGATGACGATGATGTGCGATTCACGGTTCCTCCTAGCTGACGTTTGGCCCCAATCTTGTGCCGCTTGTACCCCCGTCCCCCGTTCCATGTTCCCATCTCAGAGAGCTCCGGCTACTCCCCGCAATCTCGCGACACGGAGGGTCACATGACGCTGGTGATCAAGGCGCCCGTGGGCGGGCAGGCGGGAGAGCGAGACCGACCGAGCGCCAAGGAGGTGAGAGAGAGGGCCATGGCGTGGCACTCCGGGTCAGGCCGTGTGGTCAGCGCGTGGCTACGCTTGAACCATTGCCAGCGTTCCGCAGCGGGGGCTGATGAGCCACATCCGCAATGGGGAGGACCCGAAGTGAGCCGAGTCGTTATCCGGACTGTCCTGCGTAGGGGACGTTTTGGCCTCTTCCATTAATTAATGAGTGGCTTGGCTTGGCCTGGGACGAAACCCATCACTCATATGCGACGGGGGCGGGGGGGGGGGTGTGTGAGGCTCGCGGTGTTGCTCAACTCTCCGAGAATTACCCAGGCTCGTGTTGCTTGCCGAGCTTCGCCGTGCGTGCGGTCGGCCCATGCAACGTTGCCGGACGAAATTCCAAACGCTCAAAACCGGCACGCGGTGGGGGAGGGGGGGGGGGGGTGCTTAGGGTCAGGCGAGCGACTTGCTGTACTGCCCTCCTATACATTCGATAACGTTGGGGCCGGGGAGGGTGGGGGGGGCAGATGGGGGAGGGGGAAGAAAAAACCCAAACCGCCCTGCGATGCATTTAACGGTTCTCTCCCGCATCGGTGTTCCAACCGGACCGGTTTGCGGGGATGCGGCGGCGAGCGATTGCGGCAACATTTTCTGGTTCCCCCCCCCCGCCAACCCCTCCACGCCGATAACATCGCGGGCGCTCCCGCCCCCCTGCCTGGGAACGCGAGTGGCGAGCGGGCGGTGGCAGTCGTTGTTTGTCCTCGCACGGCACGTTAGGGGGGGCTCGGGGGGGGGGGGCGGGGGAAGGCAGGGGGGGGGGGGCGGCAGGGCCGGCGCGTAGGGGGAAGAGGAGGGGGGGCATGGGGGAGGATGGAATGTGCCGCTGGACGCTCGGTGGAGTAACCGTGCACGAAGAGGCACGGGTGAACGGAGACTCGCACAGATACTCCGAGATAGAGATACACTAATATGCAGTAGACATATACACTCACAAAGATACTGAGATATAGACACACTCATATGCAGTAGACGCATATGCACATACAGATATTCAGAGATACAGACACACTAATATGTAGTAGACACACATATGCACTCGCACAGATACTTCGAGATACAGATACACAAATACGTAGTAGACGTACACATACACTCACAAAGATACTCTGAAATGCATAAAAACTCATATGTAGTAGACATACATACACATTCTCACAGATACTCAGAAATAGACGAACACAAAAATGTAGGTGACAAACGTATGCAGACACTCGCATCGTCAGAGAAAGATGCACACACTGGCATGCAGTAGACACACTTACTCACGAAATAACGATCACCCATTTTCAGCCAGCACGGCACACGAGGGGATGGGTGGCCAGCACCACGCTCAGCCGCCTTTGTCTCCCTCGTGGCGATGTTGACACACAGCCACCAAGTACTCATCGGAGGCTTTGTCGACCTAGGGGAGGCCCATTGACCGAATCGGATAATAGTGACAAGTTTTTTTCTTAATTAATAGCTCACGACGAGAGCTTGCAATAGAAAGTCGGCCATTTTGTTTCCCCGCGCATGAGACGTTGCCGTGACGATGTAGCCGCACACAGGCGCGTCACGAGGCGGCCGTTCAATCGATTTGAAATCGATCACCCCAGTAAACACGGCAACGTTGGCCTGATGTTGGCGTGCGATCCGTGGCTGCACGCGCAGAGCCACGCGCAGGAGCCGGCGAGCATCATCATGAGCCTGGCCACCCAGGAGGCGCCGGCGGGAGCGGTGACATCGCTCGACACGGACACTCTGCCGCTGGAGGCCGCCCTGCTGCTGGAGTTCGCCCAGCGCAAGCGTTGGGTCACCAACTCGGACTGCGCGGTCAAGGAGCAGGCGGGGGCGACCGCCGACTGCAGGGGCGATGCGAATGAGCATGGCGTTGGCGCCGGCGGTGGCACCGGCAGCGCCACTGGCAGCCACGTGGCGGGGCCAGCGGCGCCCATGAGCGTCGTGACCTGTCAGGAGCAGGGGCAGGGTCAAAGGGTGGAGGTGGTGCGACCTGTGGAGAAGAGCACGGTGGAGGAGAAGCAAGTGGAGAAGCCAGTGAGCTTTGGGGTGAGGTTTTTTTTTTTTCATCGCTCCCACGTTATCGTGGGACGACCGGGTCGAGTACTGTGGGAATCTTCAGCTGCGGTCCAGATTCTCTGGCCTGGTGTCGATCTGTGGACTGGACCGAATTCCCAACGGCGGAAATGTCACAACTGTCGGGATACATTTTACCATGAATTCAACGTAAAAAAAAAATCCATTAATACGTGGTTCTCCCACCTTTGACTCACAAATATTTCTGGGAAAGTCCGACACAGACGTATTTCTTTAAACCGTCATGCATATAGGTGTTTTAACAAGCTAATTACTGTTGTTTTCCGTTTGCCGGTGACATAAAGGATAATGCTCAAGACCAAATATAGAGGTGAAATCCGTATCTAGTTGCTGGAATCAGTTGTGAGAATTGTAATAATTGGCGTGCCAAACACTTGCACACGTTGCAGTTTGATTTGTGTTGGCTGGGTGGTGGGAGGGGGTCATACCACATACAGTTTGTCAGATTGTTGTTCTGTTGCCAGAGAAGCAGTAAAAGACACCGAATCGCCACGACTCCTTGAACAGATCGAGGGGTGAATAGTTCCGTGGGTGGCGTCCCGTAACCTGTGACCTTTTCACTACCCCACAGGTCATCAGCAGCACGGCCATAAAGCCCAGGTCACATGACACGGCCGACTCGTCCACCATGGACGAGGTCATAGTTCAAGGGTCGAAGAAGATTCAAGGTATCTGCCATCAGCCCACCGTGGTCATCAAGCAAGAGGATGGTAAGCAGATGTCACACACACACACGATTTGAGCGATGATGTCCTCTTATTTGTGTTATCGCCAGACACCTCCTGTTTTCCAATATGCATAATGACACCTCTAACCGGCGGGTATATATATATTTTTTAAGCAGGTAAGGCCCACTGAACTATATACCTTTTTTAAAAAGAGACCTGGCCATAGTTCAACGAAGTGGCTTATCACGTGGATATTTATAGCAGCCAAATACTCTGAATGCATGTTGATTCTAAATTTGGGAAAAACCGGAGGACCTGGAGAAAAATCCATGCGACCACGGGGAGAGACACACGCAAACTCCAAAAATACAGGCGTCAGGGTCGGGATCGAACCCACGACCTCCTGTATACCAGGCGAGGTACAGTGAGGGAAAAAAGTATTTGATCCCCTGCTGATTTTGTACGTTTGCCCACTGACAAAGAAATGATCAGTCTATAATTTTAATGGTAGGTTTATTTGAACAGTGAGAGACAGAATAACAACAAAATCCAGAAAAACGCATGTCAAAAAAGTTATAAATTGATTTGCATTTTAATGAGGGAAATAAGTATTTGACCCCCTCTCAATCATATTTCTGGCTCCCAGGTATCTTTTATACAGGTAACGAGCTGGGATTAGGAGCACACTCTTACTTGTTACCTGTATAAAAGACACCTGTCCACAGAAGCAATCAATCAATTAGATTCCAAACTCTCCACCATGGCCAAGACCAAAGAGCTTTCCAAGGATGTCAGGGACAAGATTGTAGACCTACACAAGGCTGGAATGGGCTACAAAACCATTGCCAAGCAGCTTGTTGAGAAGGTGACGACAGTTGGTGCGATAATTCGCAAATGGAAGAAACACAAAAGAACTGTCAATCTCCCTCGGCCTGGGGCTCCATGCAAGATCTCACCTCGTGGAGTTGCAATGATCATGAGAACGGTGAGGAATCAGCCCAGAACTACACGGGAGGATCTTGTCAATGATCTCAAGGCAGCTGGAACCATAGTCACCAAGAAAACAATTAGTAACACTACGCCGTGAAGGACTGAAATCCTGCAGCGCCCGCAAGGTCCCCCTGCTAAAGAAAGCACATATACATGCCCGTCTGAAGTTTGCCAATGAACATCTGAATGATTCGGAGGACAACTGGGTGCAAGTGTTGTGGTCAGATGAGACCAAAATGGAGCTCTTTGGCATCAACTCAACTCGCCGTGTTTGGAGGAGGAATGCTGCCTATGACCCCAAGAACACCATGCCCACCGTCAAACATGGAGGTGGAAACATTATGCTTTGGGGGTGTTTTTCCGCTAAGGGGACAGGACAACTTTACCGCATCAAAGGGACGATGGACGGGGCCATGTACCGTCAAATATTGGGTGAGAACCTCCTTCCCTCAGCCAGCGCATTGCAAATGGGTCGTGGATCGGTATTCCAGAGTGACAATGACCTAAAACACACGGCCAAGGCAACAAAGGAGTGGCTCAAGAAGAAGCACATTAAGGTCCTGGAGTGGCCTAGCCAGTCTCCAGACCTTACTCCCATAGAAAATCTGTGGAGCTGAAGGTTCGAGTTGCCAAACGTCAGCCTCGAAACCTTAATGACTTGGAGAAGATATGCAAAGAGGAGTGGGACAAAATCCCTCCTGAGATGTGTACAAACCTAGTGGCCAACTACAAGAAACGTCTGACCTCTGTGATTGCCAACAAGGGTTTTGCCACCAAGTACTAAGTCATGTTTTGCAGAGGAGTCAAATACTTATTTCCCTCATTAAAATGCAAATCAATTTATAACATTTTTGACATGCGTTTTTCTGGATTTTTTTGTTGTTACTGTGTCTGTCACTGTTCAAATAAACCTACCATTAAAATTATAGACTGATCATTTCTTTGTCAGTGGGAAAACGTACAAAATCAGCAGGGGATCAAATACTTATTTCCCTCACTGTAGTTAAGATGTCGGCACCACGGCACTACATTGAGAGAGTCCCGCTACTTTGGAATGTTTAGCCAATTCCATTCCAGAGCGTTTGACTGGCAAGTCCCGATGGGCAAGCATCCAAACACTGACCTGGCTGAATATTAGTACCGAGTATACTTGGCATTCCTTTGGCTCATGGTTATCTATTTGTCACAGAGGTTTTAATTTTAATCCACCGGCAGACGGCAATGGCGCTGTTTTTACGTTGAAGTAATTTGCGGCTACTTAAAAACAAAATTGGACCGTGACACCGGCACACGCGGCCTACTCCGTTTCCAATCGCGTCACGGGGTCGCTAAACGTCCGCTGCGAAGCAGGCGGCAGGCAACTCTTTATTCCTTACCGTAAATACGTTCGCAGGAACTTCCCCAAGGCGTCTTTAGCCAGGAGGCCAAAAATACCCTCCGGGGGGGGGGGGGGGGCCTCTACAGAGCACCCTTCTTGTGGAAGCCCTTGCACGAGCGAGGCGGTTTCAGGGCCGCACCTTTGACCCTTCGCGCCAGCGGCATTGACCAGGGCAGCCCGCTGGCCTCGCAGTGCAAAGCTACGCAAAGAGCTAGCAACCATATGGCAGCGTGGTGAGAGTGCGGTCGTGTTGGGGCTAAACATGGAATTGGCTAAACATCCCAAAGTAGCCGGACCCTCTCAATGTAGTGCCGCAGTGGCTAGAGTTTAACTACGTCCCCTAGTATGCAGGAGATCGTGGGTTCCATCCCGACCCCGATGCCTGCTTTATGTTCGGAGTTTGCGTGTCTCTCTTCCTGTTGTCGCGTGGATTTTTCTCCAGGTCCTCTGGTTTTTCCCTCCACATTGAGAATCAACATCACGCATTTAGAGTATTTAGCTCCTAGAAATGTCCGCATGATTCTGAGTCAATTCATAGAGCTATCATTTGTGGCCAGGTCGCTTCTGAAAAAAAAACTGCTATATAGCTCAGTGGGCCTGAACTGGAAAAATAAAAAATACAAATTGTCGACTGGTTTTATAGTTTGGTGATGCGTTGCGACCCACCGCGTGCAGTGATCGTCTGCCTGGCCTCCATGGCGGCCCGGGCGAGGAGCAGCGCCGGTGCACGGCACGCGGCCACCAATGGCGACGCCAACGCAGAAACGTCCCTGGTGCGATGCACGCACGCAACCTGGATTTCACCGTTGACGTCACCGCACGTGCATGTGTGTGTGTGTACACGTACAAGCGCACGTGCCCAGTGTCATTGCAAATGCGTTTGCGCACGCACTCTCACATGTACACGTACGTCAAAGATTCCCGTGCGCACGCGTGCGCAGGTGTAACCCGTGTCGAGTCTCGCCGTCCGCTTTCGGTGGCTGCAACCGTAGCAGCGGTCCTAGGCACCGGCCATTGAGTGGTGGTGAGAGTGGTGGTGAGAGTGGTGGTGGCGGTTGTGTGGTGCCTGCGTGTGGTGGTTGCCGTGCTTGACCGCGGGGGGCCGTTTGTGCGTGACGCAGGATGGCGTGACGCACCTGGAGGGGAGCCTCCTCGTCAAGGTGGAAGAGGTGGACCGGCGGCACGGAGACCCAGGTACCGCCCCCCCCCCTACACCCTCCATGCACCGATCCCCTGGGTCGTTCAGAGTCGACCCGTAACACGCTCATCAAATCGGTCACGCGACGAGCGCGATCATCCAATGAACCGCAACACATCGAACCCGCTGCCCGTTAGCTTCCGTAAACCCGCGATTCAATGAACCCCTTACAAAGACCAAACTGCGTGCGGGAACGTGCGACGGGGTGCGTGCGTGCGTGCGTGCGTGCGACGCCGCCCGTCTTATTCCCAGCCGTCTCGGCGCTCGACAAACAGCGATCGCTTTTTTTGAGGTTTGTTTTCCAAACCCCCCCCCCCCCCCCGCTCGTTGCAGAAGGGCTCGGCGAGATGGAGATGGAAGGAGGAGTCGTCTTGTCACTGAAAAGGTGAGGCCCAGCCTGTCGGTATCTCTGCTGCTGTTGCTGCATTCCCAGCAGTCTCCATCCTCTGGGACGCGCTCCTTCCTTGGACTGCCACTCCCCCCTTGGTCTCGGCCACCGGCCACCATCCCTTCTAGCCATCGTAATGCAACCTGCCCAAGCCCAGCTAAAAAAATTCTCACGGTTAACTGTGATTGCGTCTCTTACGTGCTTGGACGGTGGTGGCTATGCAAGTGGCCTGTAATCCAGCGCCAGAGGTAGCATCCGCGAGGGGTTGACGGAACACACGGACGTCGAGAAACTCCCTTCCCCGTGCGCCTCAAGAGGGTGTGCCGTACACTGGCTGGCCCAAAGGCGGTACAGTAAATTGCGGACTCCACTCGTTCTGCCTGTATGGGCTAGGGCGTTGCCCCCTCGTACCGCGTGCGTTTTCTCCGGGTTGCCCGGGTTCCTGCCACATTAATGGGAGTTGCCCGAACATCCCGATGTGTAGGTCCACAGAGCTTGGGAAATCGTCGGTAGCGCCGGTTCTGGCTGCCTCCGCCGCGTGCGCGTCTGTGGTTCCTCACGTGAACTGCGCGGCGTCAGACCGATGTGTAACGTGAAGGAGCGTTCTCCTGTGCGTGGGGCTCATCGTCTGTAATTGCAAGCGTGCGCCCCCTCCCTGCTTCTTTGCGCGCCTTTCACAGATTTTGTTCACCGAACATCAAGAGAACGTTTAACGAGCTTGAAGACGACGACCAAAACCTGGCAAGTGAAGCGATAAAATTTTTTTTTACGTTTGCATAGTGCGTGCATGTACACGTCTGTGTATGTGTATATTACACATGTTATGGAGATTGGTGGCGCAGAGGTTAGCGCACTGCACTACAAAGCTGGCGACACGAGTTCGATTACCCATGACGAATATCTGAACTGGTCCTGGGCCTCCCCTAGGTCGACTCAGCATTAAATTATTAACTGGTGCGGTGCATAAAAATCAGCACTGGGGAGACAAAGGTCGTGGTTCCAGCCACACTTCCCCCTCGCGTGCCGTGCCGGGCCTTTCATAGGTGCTCGCGAACAGCACTTGCCCCAACAGTCTGTTAAGGCTGCATGGCGGATCTGTGTCTTTGCATGCATGTACACGTGCGTGTATGTAGCCGAAATGAGAGAGGATATGTGGGTGGTGGTGACGACTGTGCGTGTGTGTGTGTGCGCGTGTGTGCGTGTGTGCGTGTGTGCGTGTGTGCGTGTGTGCGCGTTGCAGGACGACGAGGTGGACGGGGAGAAGAGGAGCCGCGTGGCGGTGGCGCAGGCTCAGGAGCTGCCCGAAGATCTGAGTCTGGCGACGGGACTCCACGGGCGAGAAGGTGGTGCGGACAGCACCTGAACCGCTCTCACCCACTCGCTCGGATAGCCACTCACTCGTACACTCACTCTCGCTTCCTCCTATGCGTCGCACTCATGCTCACTCAGTCACTCTCATGCTCACTCACTCATGCAGTCACTCAATCACGCACTCGTACACTCACTCACACACTCTTAGTCGCTCGTATGCCCACTCACATAGCCACTCACTCATGCAGCCACGCTCAAGGTCACTCACTTGTACACTCACTCACTTGTACACTCACTCACGTCGCTCGGCTACAAACCAGCACACCGACACACTCACTGATTTACTCTTGCGCGCACACTAATCCACACACCCGTATAATCGTGCTTCCCTACACACTCGCTATCTCACACTCACTACCCAGAACAACCGTGGTTCATCACTAAGTGGCGGTGACTTCACCACGGCGGGTTGTGCCATGCTCGGTGCACTTTGAGGCCACGTGAAGCATCGAAGGGCTCGCTTGCAGGAGTTCACGCGACAGACCCAGGGTGGCATGGGTTGACGGACTCGAGATGACTGGCAGATGCGCCAACTGTGCCAACTCACTACACACAACAACCAGCCATTCGCCACAAAGTGGCGATGATGTCACCACGACGCTTGTGCCAGGCTGTGTGCACGTTGAGGTCACGTGAAGTGTCGAACGCCCGCCCGCCGGCAGGAGGTCACGGGCCCGACCCGCTCGCTCCGTTAACGACCGTCGCTCTTGTCTTGTTGCCACCCACCCGACCCTCAACCGCAGTCATCAAGGAGCAGCAGCTGTCCAATCAGCAGTCCCCTTGCAGAAGGCTTCAGGCGGCGAAGGACGCGAAAGCCAACACGATGATGCGACACAGGGGGCTCATTACGACCGCGCCCTCCTGCAAGGTGAAGCCAGGCAAGCGGCTGTGAGAGGGAGGGGGGCCCGTACCCCCCTCCCACCGCCAGCCTCGACGAAAAGCCAACATCTACATTTAGGCCAGAGCGCCGCTGCCCCCCGTGTGTACATTAGTTTGTGTCCACGGTGACCGAGACGCACGCTGTGGTGTGCGCCGTCCAGAGGTCCCAGCTTCGATTCAATCGCTCGGTGTGCGTGCGCTCGGCGGCTGAATTTCAACGGCGCAGGTTTCTTAAAAATCCGCCACCGCCATCTCGTACCCTTTGGATCGTTCGGTAAAGTCACGCAGGTATAAAAAGTGTAACAAATATAATCACGACGCCATCTCTTCTGTACACCCAGCAGCATAAATGGGTTCGCCACGGCACCGCGTTTGGTCGCGTACAACGTGGGGCGTGCGCTCCCGCCTCTTCGAAGGCACCGGCGGTGGCAGCGTGGAAGAGTAGACCAAATAAGGGAGGGGGGGGCCCCACACAGAGCTCCCTGGAGCGTTGTTCGGGGCCCCCCTCCGCCAACAGTAGCGCGAGCAAGCAGTTGCAGGGAAGCACCTTTTACAGTTAGATTGTTTTTAGACACCAAGGGCAAGATGATAAGTTAGAGGGGGGGGGCTCACGTGCTGCTGGTGAAGGCCGGGGCGATGCGGCCGTGGGAGCGACGGGGGGAGTGAACCCCGTCCTTGGGAGGAGTGCGCCGTGACCTTTTAAACACGAACAACAGAGTCGAGCAGCGTCGTCGTCATCGCCAAATGTTTTATGTTTTATCTTCTGAACTCGATCTCGAATCGCGTTTTGTAACTTAACCGCGGGGGGGGGGGGGGGGGGGGGGGGGGGGGGCGGGGGGAGGGGAACCGGTTGTCGGAAAAATAAAGTTGCCGGCGTTTTTATGAATATTCTTTGCCCACCCGCTCCCAACCCGCCCTTGACGCGTCTTGAACAAAGATTAACCTTAAAAAAAACGAGCGGGGAAACGGAGCAAGTGGCCAATCGAGACGAGCCCCCAGGGGTCAATGAAACCACTCCAACCCCCCCCCCCCCCCGATACTAACGAACGCCTTCGTGCGGCGTTCAACCGTGAAGCGGGGATGTGTGAACTCTCCATCGCCCATGGGTGGACTGTAACCCCCCCACCCCGGGAGTTGCGGATTTCCAGCGCTTGCGAAGAATGTTTATAACGCATGGTTATGCGCGAGCGGTGCGGGTTGAATCAGTCAGCCGCTCCTCACTCGTCGAGGGCCCACCGACCTCGGTGCCCACGTGACCGCAAAACGCACCGGCAAGTCCACCGGTGACTTTGAAGATGCAATACAAAGGGATGGGACGGGACGTTCTACATCTGAACCCCACCCCCAACGCGGTCTGTATATTCCGAATGTCGTGGTGGGCATCATCCGTGTTTTGTTTTTACCAGGGCTGCCCGGCTTCCGAATGAACCCGGATAAATTGGAGAGTCGACTGTTGCCCCATTATGGCAAGTGAATTAAGGAAAAAATGTGGAATGTTTTATTTACAGCTGCGTAAAAAATATATATTTTACCGGGTAGCCCCCTCCGCCACTGAAGCAGCCTTTTGAGAGACCAACGAATGTAAGCCCTGTCCGCTGGCCATCGCTAAAAAAGTGGGTAGAGCAGAGAGACACGGGGTGGTACAGGTGTGTAGAGCAGAGACACACACGGGGGTGGTACAGGTGCGTAGTGCAGAGACACACGGGGTGGTACAGGTGCGTAGTGCAGAGACACACACGGGGGTGGTACAGGTGCGTAGCGCAGAGACACACGGGGTGGTACAGGTGCGTAGTGCAGAGACACACACGGGGGTGGTACAGGTGAGTAGTGCAGAGACACACGGGGGTGGTACAGGTGCGTAGAGCAGAGACACACGGGAGTGGTACAGGTCAGTCGAGCAGAGACACACGGGGTGGTACAGGTCAGTAGAGCAGAGACATGGGGGTGGTACAGGTGCGTAGAGCAGACACACACGGGAGTGGTACAGGTGCATAGAGCAGACACACACGGGAGTGGTACAGGTGCATAGAGCAGACACACACGGGGGTGGTACAGGTGAGTAGTGCAGAGACACACGGGGGTGGTACAGGAGGGACGGGGGATCGCTCGCTTGTGCACTTTAACTCGCACACCGCGGGACCACACAGCGGGAGTCGAACTCTCAACCCAGGTGAAAACAACCCCCAGTGGATTCTTTCAAGGGGGGAGGGCGGCGTGGGATGACTTCGTATGAGCAGCATGGGTGGAAGACGTGTGGGTGTCGTGCCCTCGTAGAGCGTGTTCCGTCTACCGTGTCCCTCCGTCTGGTATAAGCTTTTGTCTTTGTTTTCTTCTCGGGCACCCTGAAAGAAGTCCTCGACAAAAATGGGGTCAAACTTTTATCGGGGAAAATTGCCAAGTGCGAGCTGGTGCCTGCCCCCGTACCAACTTGTGCGAGCTGGTGCCTGCCCCCGTACCAACTTGTGCGAGCTGGTGCCTGCCCCCGTACCAACTTGTGCTGCCCTTCTCTGTCCGAGCGTCGCCCCCGCCCCAGCCTTTCCCGTGGGGTCACTTTGCTCACGTCCCGTGTCAACGCATCCGACATAGCCGCTTGGTCGCGGCCCGGCTCTTCGCTCGCTCGTGTTACTTAAAAAATATATATTGCGTAAAGCGTTTTACGTCAACGTCTCAACTGAGACGCTCGTAGTCAGCCACTGCACGGTGTGTTTGATCTCGCGATGACCGCAGACGCTTCCGGGGTTAGGTTAAAGCCCAAAACCACGAACCTCACCCAAGCCGTAACCCTTCCTCTGCCCCGACCCCAAAGCATGGCCGCGGTGCGAGTAGGATTTCTAAATGTAAACTGCTGTCGGGACACCAAAAAAAAAATGAATACTGATGTTGAGGTGCAACCTTGCAGCTACAATTCCCCATGGGATGGGAAGGGGGGGGACGGAGGTGGGGGTTGGGTGGGGGCGTGAATTCTGTGAGATTCACGCGCTGCGATAGCGAATGCTCATCACTGCCAGTTAGCCATGCGAAGAGACGCTCTCCGCTTGTTGAATCGTACGAAATGTTTTGTTTTTAATTTACAGACCTTTCTCACTCCACTGCTGGATGAAGGCCTCCCAAATGTTTTTTGTAGGGTCTCTCGGGGGGGGGGGGGTGTTGTCCATACGCGGTGCGGTGGTGGTGGAAGCGCGGATTCGGTTTAGACGTCGCTCGGTGCCGGTGACGGCGACGGTGGTTGTGAATTGAACGAAGGTTGCGCGGGTTCGTAGCGCGGGTTCGTAGCGGGGCGCGCGAACTGCCCTGCCACCGCTCCGGCAATTCAAAGACTTGCCAAGCGCGGACACCACGCGCGCCGGAGACTAATGGGAATGCCGTCGGCTTAAAGCGTCGATGGAAAGACAGCTCGCTCGGACGTCCGGCGTTTACGCCCAATCGCCCGGTGTTCCGTCGAAGGGAGCCGGCTTGGGTTTAAGAAACGACTTCAGGAGCGGCTGCTGCACGGCTTCTTCGACGCGCTTTTCGCACCGCGCCGGTCCACGCGTGGTTCGGCGCGACGTCCCGACGCTTTGCTCCACGTTGCCTGAGAAAAGTTGATTGAAGAAGCCATCCAGGGGGCACGCGGAGCGAACCGGCGCGGACGTCGTGCCGAACGGAACGTGGCACGGCCCGAAAACCGGTTTGGCGGCGTTCAGAATGTTTGTGCCCAACTTACCTGGGATTTGAATAAGATGGGCCTGTAAATACAAATTCTGGACGCCGCTGCCAAGATATGTCAATCAAGTGCAGCTTGAGCAAGCATGAAAGTTTTGTGGGTTGAGAAATATGTCGTTAGTGAGAAGTTGCACTCCGGCCGAAAATGTATCATTTAGGAGACATCCCAAGGGGTTGTCGTTTACCGAACCGTCAAATGAGGGCGCTTCAGATGTCGCAATAATACAGGCGTGAACTCCACCTCCTCTCGATCCACCCAGGGTCGTTGCCTCAGCATCCGTCGTAAAACCCAGGAACTCGCCCAGGAAAGCCTCACCGAGACTCAGGGCTCTGTTTTTAAGGAGGGTCCTGCTAAATTGGGACGCTTTGGCCACCAATTCCACAAACTCAGAGTTTGGCTTTTGTTGTGGGAGATAACCGGGGAAAAGCCACCGAGCTCTGTACAAGGGGTCGACAAACACCCGGCAAGCCCCATGGTGTTGCCCGCCCATCCAAGCGCTAACCAGGCTCGCTGCCACTTAGCTTCCAAAATCCGCCAAGATCGAGCACATTGAGGGCATAGGAATCTCAAGCTTTCGATTCTCACATACACACACGAGTGGATACAATTACCACGAGTCATCGTTATCGATTACTGATCGGCCGGACCGCAGGGCGGTGATGCTTGAGGTGCGCTTCATGTCGACCGAAACGGAGAGGGATTCGATCGAGAGCTCTCGACTTGTCAAACGGAGACGTTCGCAGTGCAGTCGAGCTCACACCTGGCGCATCTCTCAATAAATAGCCTTCAGTTGGATTCCAATTTATATTGAGCTTAGTACTAATCGACGTTACTTTGGGGGGGGGGGGGGGTGGTATTCTCAACAGCTCGGACCGTGAGTTCAACTCCGGCTCTCTCGCTCAACAATGTATTTCTTTGTCCTTTCCCCCAAAATGTGCACCTTTGTTTCCAATGCGCAATCATGGCGGTCGTGCCGACTAGTTGAGGGATCCATTTGTAAAGTGTCACAGCGCTGTTGTGCCCCCCCCCCCCACACACGTGTTCAGGAATGGAGGAGCCTTCACGAGGCCTTTTTTTTTAGTCTTCACGACAGTCGGGGGTGCACTTTTCCACACTTTGCTGTGAGATCGCCGTTTGCTTTGCATGACGGTCAAACGGTTAATTTTTAATTCTCATGAAGATGACATTTTTTTTTGTTGCCAAATTTAGGTGAACACAAAATCAACAACAAATTTGTTGAATTTACTTGGCAGTCAGCGGTGACCGGGCTGAGACCACGGCCGCGTGGCTTTAACCACGGATTCACAGCAGTGCCGGCTCCGCCGATTAGCGGCAGCGTGGCCCGGCATTGCCACCTTACGTGATGGCATTGGGGGGGGGGGGGCAACTGCCCAAATCCTTCCCCCCCCCCCACTCCGCTCTCTTTTCGTAGCCCAGCGGGGTGCCTGGGCCACTCGAGGGCAGTGACAACGCCCGAGCACTCCACAGCTGACGGCCATTACGCTCGGCCCCTCTCCAGCGAACCGGGCCCACTTGTTTTGAATGTACACAATTTCAGAACCACTTGTTCATGCCCCCCCCCCCCCCCCCCCTGCTCATTGCCGAGGGGCCCTTGTTGGCTGGCGTAGCCTTGACGCGGCCGTGCCCGCTTCACGTCTCTGTATATTTATTTGCGGATGAAGGCTTTGGCTAAGATTAGGGTCCAGCCGCTTGTAGCCCCCTGCACGTTCAGCGTGCTTGGTGCTATTTTAAAATATTTGTCTTTCTCTCTCGTTATTTTGTTTATTTTTATTTGTAAAACTAGCTCGGAGAGGGGGAGGGGGGGTGTTCGGGCGGGGGAAATTGAATATCTGTCCCACTCCTGTTTTCGTTCGATCGTCACGTTTCGGAAAATATTGAAATAAAGATTACAACTCTACTGATGATGCGTGGTGACGTCACAGTCGTGTGATGTCACAGTTGTCCCATTGTTTATATTCAGGAAAGCTCTCGCCGAGTGTTAAGACTTTTTTCATTCTGTTCCTGCGTACGATGGCAGCGATGCGTTCGGGAGCTAAAATGCCAAATGCTTAAGTCTGCTGGCCACGATGTTTTGGCCCAATTCCACGAAAGAGTGTTTGGCTTCGTGTGCGTGGGAAACTCAAGTGCCCATAGTACACCCACCACCACCCATGCTAATCTCTGCACGGATGGGATTCAACGATGGCACTGTTGACCTGCTATTCTCTGGCCACCTTTGAAGCCCAACCATTTTCCTTGACCGAGATCACACCGACCGCCAAATAAATGCGCGCAAAGCCAAACACAGGAATCCCAAAACAATGTCCCAGGTTGGCAATTGACGAGGAACCCACGTCACAAATACCTCGGCGCAATGCAAGTCCAGACTCCGGTCCAGAAAGACTGCAAGTGTTCCACCTGGGGCTTCACAAACATCTCAAGCGCGGCTTTTGGACTCGATGTAGAGTAAGAGCCCGGCCCGTGCACCCGAGTCTGTGCGAAACCCCCGGATTGGATCGTGCATCGGTTTCTCCGGATCGGAGTCTCGCACCGCCGTCGGAATTGGAGCCAGATTCAGTGACGGCAGCCGAGAAGCCCCTGGTAAGGGTTTGAAGAAACAACAACGTCCAAAATGTGACACTCTCATGCATCGTGCAGACCTGCTTTGATTTATACAGAAAATGGCTTTACAATCATACAAAGCGTTTTTACTATATTGGGGTTGGTGGCAGCGATGGGGGTGACTCCTAAATCACATTAAACCAAAACATAAAAAATTAACGAAAAGGTCAAGTTCATACACAAAGATCCCCTGTTAAGCCTGTAACAGACTTGGGGCAAGTGCTGCTTGCGAGCACCTACGAAGGCCGGCACGGTACACGAAGGGGGTGGGTGGCCAACACCACGTCCGTCCATCTGTCTCCCCAGTGCTGATGTTTACACACCACAGCAGATACTCATTTGAGGCCGAGTCGACCTAATGGAGACCCAGGAGCAGTTCAAATATGCATCAATTCTTGGCAGTGCCGGATGAAGGTAGTGCGGGGCTTGTAGCATATGTTATAAAGAGGCGCTAAATAAATAAAAACAAATAAATATTTAAAAAAATGTGCTTGCATAGTAAATTAAGTGTATTTTTTCATTTGCTATACAGCCAGATAATACGACAAATCGCTAACCTTAAACACCTAAGTTGAAGGCAGTATAGTACTATAGTAATAGAGCAAGTGTAAAATCACTGAACTGGAATTGATAGCGTGAAAGCATTTAGCGTGGGGCCCTTGGAAGTGCGGGGCCCGTAGCTACTACACATGCAGCTACTACACGTGTAGCGACTACACGTGTAGCAGCTACTACACGTGTAGCAGCTACTACACGTGTAGCAGCTACTACACGTGTAGCAGCTACTACACGTGTAGCAGCTACTACACGTGTAGCAGCTACTACACGTGTAGCAGCTACTACACGTGTAGCAGCTACTACACGTGTAGCAGCTACTACACGTGTAGCAGCTACTACACGTGTAGCAGCTACTACACGTGTAGCAGCTACTACACGTGTAGCAGCTACTACACGTGTAGCAGCTACTGCACGTGCAGCAGCTACTGCACGTGCAGCTACTGCACATGTAGCTACTACACATGCAGCTACTACACATGCAGCTACTACACATGCAGCTACTACACATGCAGCTACTACACATGCAGCTACTACATGTGTAGCTACTTGTACTACATGTGTAGCTACTACACGTGCAGCTACTACATGTGCAGCTACTTGTACTACACATGCAGCTACTACATGTGCAGCTACTTGTACTACACATGCAGCTACTACATGTGCAGCTACTTGTACTACACATGCAGCTACTACATGTGCAGCTACTTGTACTGCACGTGCAGCTACTACTACATGTGTAGTAGCTACTTGTGCTACTGGGTGAATCCACCACTGCTTATGGGTCGTGAGCGGGAATCGAACTCGGGTGGTCTTTGGGGTTGTGGCGCAGCGCTCCAACCACCACTGCACCACTGCTCCCCACACACAAAACCACCATTCGCCACTAAGTGACGATGTCACCAGGGCACCTGTGCCAGGCTTAGTGCACCTACAGAGACATATACACATACACACACACATAGGTGACCATCGTTTTATAGATTGCGTGCAGGACCGACTTGTAACGATACATATACCGTATAGATTTTTATATATATAAAAAATATTTACCGTGCCTCATAAATAAAACGATAGTAAACTCCGCCCTTCGCAGCCGCGATCGTGCGCACCAGACGCTCAACCGAACTCGTCGCCGACTGCAGCGGAAAGCGAAAACAATCACGAGCACGCTTGGGAGGCCCCCCCCCCCCCCCCCCCGCAACACAGCGGATTGTTCCAACGCGCTGGCCCACGGAAGCCTCTCGGCTGACGGCAAGTAGCGGCGCACGTTGGCGCCCGGCGTGACGGGGATGCCACACAGCCAGGCCCTGGCAGCGGCTCCGCTGGGCAGAAGGGCACAGGAAGAAGCGCCTCGACATGGCCCGTTTACTCCGGGCCTAAGGTCCTCCAACACCCCAACAGAAACACGAATTGCTGAACACTCGACGAAGATTCGTCTGCCCGAGGACTGGTGGATATCAACCACCACGTGGCTTTCCCTCCCTATGGCCGTAAAAGTAATAGCGACAATTGTGAAGTAAAAACGTTAGGAATGTGCTTTTGCTTTTTCTTCAACGTGACCGCGACTTTGGCTTCGTACAGGCAGCTGTTATTTAACTTGGAAAGGCGTCAGACGCAAATTCTGTTTGTGTTCTTGCACAAGAGGCCGAATTGTGCTCGTCGGCTGGGCTTTTATTGGCGCGAGGCACAAAACGCCTATCCGCAACAATCCGCTATCATTGTACACACTGGGGTGGCCAACTCTCGACTGAAGCTAATCCGGGAGAATTTGTATTATTATTTTACAACATTACGCAATGTTGTACTGTTCAACTCGTTGACAAAATCAACGTCGAGTCACCATCTTATCGCGTGGGTGTAAGGATTGTCATTGATAAAAAAAGAATGTTACTTCTGTATAAATCATGGTCATTGGGATCTACGGATAAGATGCGCCTTACGAATGTTAATTCGGTTTAACACGTCGGCTTTTACGACCAATATCATCCATAATACGGGTTTCTTTTTGAAGTTAGATCGTGTAAATCTATGTGTCGTTAAACCCGTCACCACTTGACACAGCCAATTAGCCAGGGTTGTCACGTAAACACAACGTGCCAATTCGTTACTCGTCCAGCAACGCCGGTGGTGTTGCAGAGCCAAGCCACAACATTTACAATCTGAGTAAGACGTTTCGCCAGATTTGGCTGTCGCCTGATGAAGCTAGTTCTAATTACTGGCGAAACGTCGTACTCAGATTGTAAATGTTGTGGCTTGGCTCTCCAACAAACCGGTGTGTTGTACTAGTGACGAATTGGCACGTTTTGTGTGCGTGACAACCCGTACTAATTTGGCCGTCTCGAGTGGTGGCGGGTTTAACGACACATGACAAATATTTACACGCTCTAACCCCCAAAAAAACTATTATGGACAAATGTCAATTATTATCCATTTATTTTACCAAAATATCCTCTTAAAATCTGCCGGATTGCTCTCAAGAGTCACCGGGAGATGGTTGCAAAATTCCGGTTAAAGACTCCCGGCCAATCCGGGAGTGGTTTGGCAACGCGACTGAAACCACGGGGACAAAGAAGGATGAGGCGGACGTGGCGGGAATTCAAGGGAACTGCGTTCAGGCTAAAATGACAACACCGCTTACGATGCGATGAGCTTCGGGGACGCAAAACCTTCGGACGACGCTGGATTTCCGAGGGGGAATTGTCAGACCTCCCGGACGGCGTGCAGCACGTGGTAATTGAATGCGTCTTCGAGCTAAAACGTCACGTGCCCCGACGTCACGTGACGTCACCTCGGGTGGGAGAAGTTGCTTTGGAAGCGACGGAACAAAAGTGACATCGTGTCCTGTGACGTCAAAAGTTTCGGATCAATCGAAAATCGACCTTTTTTCTTTTTTTTTTCCCCTGGATCAACCGAAATGTCGTTTCTACATCGGCCCGATTTTCAGATATCTTTGTTTGGTTCATCTGAAAATCGGCACCACATACCCCGGATACGTGCGCGTATCACAAAGAACACCGCAGCGTTCGATACAAAGGACACTTTGTAAAAATAAGAATTTTCGATTTCTTGGCTTGAACCCGCTTTCGTGTTTTCGCAATCTTTTATCCCACGCACATCCTGCAGCGTGCAAATTCATCTTCACAGCAGTGTCTATGCGTGTACCAGAGTTGCTCCACTCATGTCACAATCACAGTGACGGGTTATGAGCCTACTCACACATAGACGAGTACATTTAAATACGGGGTGGTCCAGATGTCTTGTGACCTTCCCCCCCATTTAATTCTGTAAAACGTAATCTTTTTTTAAGGGTTATTTAAAACATAAATGAATATACGAAGGTAAAAAAAAAACGTCAGGGGTCAATTAATTGAGGGGAGGGCGGGTGGTCACAAGACATCTGGACCACTTTATATGGTGACCTGTAAACAAGAAGCACATCAAAAACACAACATGCGGCATTAATACTCCCTTTGTGTACGCGTTGAACTTCTTTCCCACCATACGTAGCCAACCGTGCTAATCGGCGGTGCGGGGAATCGGCGGTGCGGGACTTTTGTCAATTCTGCTGCTGGAGGAATGCCTCCCTCCGTGTGCCATGTCGGCTTTCGGGGGTCCCTTCACCATACTTCACCACAATGGCGACAGCGGGGCTGGCGAAGGGGAATGGGCGGCCCAGCACTGGTTTAGATATCGCTCGCCAATGATGACGTTGCCCGCGGCCTGGTAATGGAACCGCGGTTTCCGGTCTTACCGCGCCACGCGCCAACCACTGCACCGCCAATCTCCTCGCTAAATGTTGTCCCCCAGGGCTTCATGCGGACATGAAGCCCTGGGGGATCGATGGGAACGCGGCACCTGGAGGAAATATTCCAAACGGCCCGACAATGGATGGCTTGAGCGACGACTACGACTAGGTAGGACTAGGGTTAGAAGACTTCAGGAGTTAAGTCGATCCGTTTTCTCTCTCTCTCTATCTCTCTGCTCTGGGCCACTGCCCGAAACGTCAGCCGGCGAGGATCTCGCGTTGTTGTTCGTTTCTATTGTAAGGCGGCGGCAATGGCGAAAGCGGCGATGTCTTTGTTCACGTGTGCGGTATTACTGCCGGAATTATTTGTTTTATTCTACATGCAGATCCAAAGACCCCCCACCCCCCCACACCGCCGTATAGACTGTGAGCGAGCACCTGATTAAGGCCGGCACGGAGCACCTACGGGCAGTGCCGTCAGCACCACATTCCAGGCGACCTCTCTCTCTTCCCAATGCTTAATATTTACACAATGTACCGTTTTTAAGGCCGAGTTGACCTAGGAGAGGCCCAGAACCGGTTCGCATATCACTTGCCACCAATTCTAGCCTTGGCGGGTAATCCAACTTGGGTTCGATTACGCAACGCGCTCACCACTGCACCCCCACTTCCCACACGTGTGTTTATACTGAGCACACGCACACACATACGCATACGCACGCACCCGCATACCTGCCGGCTGGGGTATTCTCTACAGCTTGGGGGGGATGGGGAACTTATTTGGTCCACGGGCCAGATATGGCTCACAAATTAATTTAATTATGACCTACCACTACAAAACAAACTTTACCCCCATCGCCGCAAGCGTCGAAGCCGCGCCAATCGGGTGTGGGGAATATTTTGGACCCGGCATCGGGACACAAGTGTGTTTAAAACTTGAGCTCACCTCGGCCACTTCGATCACTTCAAGGGACCTCTCCAAGGGAGGTATCCGAACACTCGATTTGAGGCCCCAAGCAAGGAAAAGGTTCCTCAACCACAGGCTCTACAGAAAATGCTGCCATGACGCCTGCCCCGTAAGCTGGCAAGGACCTCAGAGCGACAGCGGCCATCACCGCCACCGTCGTTTCCTCGGCTTCCCGCAGCGTTGCCCACAACTCCCTGGGGACAGGCAGGCTAGGCCACAGACCGTCATCAACACAATTATACGAACCATAATTACAATCATCACAAGCAACGGTGGCATTAAAACAGCGTCGCGTTGAAGATGTGCCCGACGTGTAATTCCTTTCCGGCGGCAGTGTTCGCACGGCTCGGCCGAGATGGCACCGAACGATCCGAGCCACGATTCTTCATTGCGAGGGTTGGGGGGGGAAGGACGTTTTTTTTTTTTGAAGTAGAGTCTTCGTGTTCTGAACGCCGGGTAAACGTCGCGCCGAGCGTTCCGTCTCGGGGGAATGAGCGTGACAGCGTGGGGGGGATGATGGCGGGACACAGCGGAGTGGATCTTCACAATGGCCGACATTAACTAAAAGGCACGGGGGACGACAGGGAGGGTGGGCACACGACACAAATCAAATGAAAGCGAACGTCAAAAATAAATCGCAGCAAAACTCAAACGGACAAAATCGACAATGGACGGAGATGGCGTGCAGACAAAAAATGTTAAATAAAAGTGCAAGTTCAAAAAATAATATGCGTGTGTGCTCAAGAGTAAATCAATTAAAAAGTGCGAGGGGGACACGGGGTGAAATAACAGACAATGACAACGGTGGAGGACGGAATGACTGGCGGAAAACGATGGATAGGAGTGGCGGTCAGAGCCTCTGGCGTTCCTGCGCCCAACTCAAGCTGTGAGCGAGCTGCTTTGCCATCCGACGGACGGCCGGCTGGCCGGCTTTGTCCGATGCCCCGCTACCCACGCGCGCCAGCTCGGCGCTGCAACCAGGCTGCGCCAAACGAACCCTCGTCCCCACGGCAAGCCGGTCCCCCCAACCGAACCGATCCCGTGCGGTTCGTGAGAAGAGCGGCACTGCACGAGGGCGAGACCTCGTGGCTCACGGCACAAGGAGGGGCACAGGCCGAGGCCCGGGCGGCTCCGAGCACGGCGCGAACCGTCGGCGTTACTCGCTTTCCTCTTCGCCATCGACTGCTTCCGGGGAGGCCCCGGCGGGGGGTGCGGCCGATGTTCCGGTACGGGCCGGGACGTGAGCGGGGACGGCGGACCGGGCGACCATCGCCGACGAGAAAACCGACGTGAGGCCCGACGCCAGCACGGAGGCGAGAGCGGAGGCCGACCCGGAGCCGTGCGGCGCCGGCCGGCCCGTCGCAAACCCCGACGAGGCCAGCACGGACGCCAGCACGGAGCCCGGGCCGGCAAACATGGCCGGAAGCGACTGCTGCGGCCACGCCGCCGCCGCCGTCGTCGACGTTTCCGGCGGCGCGGCCGCCGGAAACGTCGCCGAGAGCGACGACGGTTCCGGAGACATCGACGCGGCCGGAACAACGGAAGCAGCCGTCTCGTCACCCGGCTCGAGATCCGGCTCGGCCACGGCCGGATCCGAGGGCCGGGCCTCACCGGCCGGCGTGCACGGGGTCCCCAAGTCCGAGCCGGAATCCGTCTCGGACTCGCGCCCGGCCCAGCACTCCAGCGCCGACACCGAACTGTACGTGCGCGCCGACGCCAGCTCCCCCGCCGATCCGGTCCACGCCGCGGCGGCGGCCGCCACGGCGGAGGCGCCGCGCTCCAGCGATGCTGACCTGGTCTTGGCGGCAGCGGCGGCGTTGGGCGGCGGCGGGCGGGCCTGGCGCCGGAACGAGTCCTTGGTGGCCTGGGCCCGGCCAGAGGCGCGGGGAGAGCCGCGCAGGAATGGGTCGGCGAGGCCCGGCGGCTTCTTGGGCACGCGCTTGAGCAGACGGGACACCCACTGCTTCTGCTCGTCCGGCGTGGAGGCCAGCAGTAGCAGCACCTTGGCGCTGGTCATGTCGAAGGTTACTGCGGCGTGGGAGGGAACGGACAGCGGGGAGGGGGACGGGTGGGGAGAGAGAGAGAGAGAAAGGGGAGAGACGCGTCCGTGGTGATATCGAAACGCTGAGGTTGAAAGCGTCAATGCACCAGCTCTGTCCGTCTGCCAAACGCGTGCCATGCAGGGCTGCAAGGTCACCACTACCCCGGGGCGTCTCGGGTCGCTGTGCGTGGTGAATGGGATGACCGGTGATCGAGATGACCGGTGGTCGGGATCACCGGGTGAGCGGGATTCACCGGCGTACGCGATCACCGGGAGAACGGCCCCGTCGGTGGGGCGCACGCCACGGCTCACCCTTGCAGAGCGGCACGGCCTCGTCGCCTCGCTCCATGTGGTCGCGGTGGCAGCGGAAGTGGCAGCGCTGGCACTCGAGCGCGGCAGGTGGCTTGAAGACGTTCCACAGCGGCTTGGCGCACGCCTCGCAGCCCGTGGGGAAGTGGTAGAGCGTGGGGATGAACTCGTGGCCGCGGTGCGGCAGGCAGGCTGCCGCCGGCGGCGGCGTCGGGGCGCCCGTCGACTCGGGGTCCTGGTCCTTGCGGCTCTCACCCTCGTTCGCGTACAGGATCTGGGGAGAGGAGCGAGGGGAGAGGGAGGGGAGAGGGAGGGGAGAGGCAGGGGAGAGGGAGGGGAGAGGGAGGGGAGAGGGAGGGGAGAGGAAGGGGAGAGGGAGGGGAGAGGGAGGGGAGAGGGAGGGGAGAGGAGAGGGAGGGGAGAGCGAGGGGAGAGCGAGGGGAGAGCGAGGGGGGACAGGGCATTGTGGTGGTGATATCGACTGTCTTGGTGTTGCATCTCTCGGCAGTGTTGAAGCACAACCTGCAACGTATCACTCTGTGATCGCTGGTACTGGCAATAGCTTGGGGAGGGCCTTCATCCAGCAGTAGATTGATGATGACTGATTATGATGATGATGATGCATGTGGGTTTTTCCAAAGAGGTGGTGGAGCAAGATGTTTACGAAGAGGCAAAGCGCAACAGCATCACGACCACCACCTGAAATATCTGCGGGATGTCCTTGGCCTCGGCCCTGTAAACGTCTCCTTGCGTGACCGCCCTCACGTGGAACAGTTTGCTGTGGATGCACACGCACAGACACGATCACACACACGCACGCACAGACACGATCACACACACGCACGCACAGACACGATCACACACACGCACGCAATGCCCGATCGGCACTCGGCGCTCACCGCCTGGTCTACGAAGACAGCATGCACAATGGGAATGATGCAAACGTGTCCCGTGGCCGAGCGGTCGAGCGGGCGGCTCGCAATCAGAAGGTGTGCGAGTTCAGATCCCGCTTCGGGTGCCGCGTCCACCTCGCGCCGCACAGGGACAGCTGCCACTGGGGGATGCCGTCTTTCAAACGTGTTGTGAGGGCGCGCTCGCGATCAAAGCAGGAACTCGTGCTTAAGTTTATTATCGGGGCAGCGTTGCCGAGCGAGGGAGGGAGGGAGGGAGGGAGGGAGGGAGGGAGGGAGGGAGGGAGGGAGGGAGGGAGGGAGGGAGGGAGGGAGGGAGGGAGGGAGGGAGGGAGGGAGGGAGGGAGGGAGGGAGGGAGGGAGGGAGGGAGGGAGGGAGGGAGGGAGGGAGGGAGGGAGTGGAGGATGTCTGCGAGCGACTCACTCGAGGTCGATCACCATGCTGGGACTCGCGTGGACTCGGTCCTGCTCGTCGTTGTAGAAGAGGATCTTCTTGCTGCTGACGACCACAAACTGCGGCGGAGACAAACGGTGGCGTGACGAGCGGCGGGGGACGCGCGGCGATGCGCACGGGCGCAGAGGCCCAAACGTTTGCGCAGAAGCACAAAATGCGCGTGCAGACGCAAGGATTCGGACGCGCGGACGCCGCTCGCAGACACGCGGACGCCCTCGCAGACACGCGGACGCCGCTCGCAGACACGCGGACGCCGCTCGCAGACACGCGGACGCCCTCGCAGACACGCGGACGCCGCTCGCAGACACGCGGACGCCCTCGCAGACACGCGGACGCCCTCGCAGACACGCGGACGCCGCTCGCAGACACGCGGACGCCCTCGCAGACACGCGGACGACCTCGCAGACACGCGGACGCCGCTCGCAGACACGCGGACGCCGCTCGCAGACACGCGGACGCGGTCATCACAAGGGAGACAACGGCGGTCGTCTCCACCGTCCCCGTGGTTGCGTGTCGTGTGAGCAGCGCGTGGCGTAAACGGCGGTCACCTGCTTCTTCCAGCCGTAGCGCTTGATGTTGCTCTTGTTTGGCAGAGAGAGCCACCCTTCGAGGCGCGAGTCTGGAGGGCAGAGGTCGTCAAGGGTTGGGGACAGGGTGCGAGACGGCACGGAGAGTCAGGGGTGGCAATAACGGCTCGACTGTGCTGACGATTTCGAACAAAGGTGAAACCGAGGCATTGTCGTACAAACGCATCACAGTCCTGCTGCTGACCACAATGATAGGGAAGACATCGGATGAGGAAAGCCCAGAGGGTGATGAAGGCAACGTTATTTTTTGGGGGGGGCAAGGCAACGTTATTTTTGGGGGGGAATTCAACGAAGCCGCGTGTTTGTTTACGGAGTTGCAAGAGCATCGACTCTGGCGCTCCGTCTGAAGGGGCAGGTCCCTGGCTGTCACCGTCTCCATCCTCCTCTGTGTTTCCCCAAACGCTCCCTTTGCCCCACTTCAGCTCCTCCAGCGTCCCGATCCTCGGCCTACCACTCGTCCCCTTCCCCCTCCGTCCTTCCATACAACGTCCTCGTTCACCGACCCCATTGCCTCGTATTGACTGCGTTCAACGCAGATCTTTCTCTCTAGCTCTGGTAAACTTCCGTCGGTTTACAAGCACAACAACTTTAAATGTAACAGAGCGTCTCCCCGACAAACATGCCCATGTATACACAGGAATTGGGGAGGGGGGGGGCAAATACATTCATACAGAAAACAAAATTACAAGTACAGATATAGCGAAAGAAAATAATTTGGTCATGATGCAGCATGGATTTAACTGCACACAGAGAAGTTGCGCAGCGCTGTACGCAGGTTTCTGGGTGGATTGGTGGATAGGTTGCTGGGTGGATGGGTGGGTACGTGGATAGCTGGGTGGATAGATGGGTGGGTGGATAGGTATCTGGGTAGATAGGTGGGCAAGTGGGTAGTTTTCTGGGCAGGTAGGTGGGTAGTTTTCTGGGTGGGTAGGTGGGGACGTGGATACGTGGATAGGTGGGAGGATAGGTGCCTTGGGTAGGCGGGTAGGTGTGTTGCTGGATAGGCATGTGTGGGAGAGGTCATTTGCAAAAAAACCACAGAGGCCACAGGCAGCCATAGAGTCAACAGCGCACAGCCGCCGCGACGCTACTCCCACGCACGGCAAATTCCAGGGGGTCGCCCGCCACCAGCCCGCCTGCCCCTGCCACGATCCTGTCCTGTGGCAGCCGGCCCTACCTGACTAATAAATCAAGAGGACAACGCTGGCCATTGTGAACCCAGCGTGAGAGCGAGTCTGGGAGGCAGCGTGGATCCAGGAGTACGAGTTTGGCAACTTGTTTGAAGAGTGGAGCACTTGGGAGGGGGGGGAGGTTGGCGTGAAGCGTTGAAACCCGTATTTTTGAAACGAATATTAAACACAAAAAGACGATAAGGTCGCTCAGAATCAAATTATCGACCTCTGTTCCATATCCCCGGGTATGCCCCACTGGTTCCGTCCGCCGTCCTCAGACGCTCCCCCATTCGGACGCCCTGCAAGTCTACGTGGTAATTGTTTATAAAATAATTATATTAATTAAGTTTATCGGACTCCTGGACTTACAATAAAATCCGATATTTCGGAATAATTTTATGAAAGTGCAAAAATTGTTGCTTGCTCTTCAAGATTGGCCGTGTTTTGGGTGGTTTAGGGTTAAAGTATCAAAAAACAATCAGTGGCATTACACCCACACGATGGCATGACAAAAAAACACATTAATTATGAATTGTAACATCGGTTGATTGAGCCGACGTATAAACAGTGAAGAACATGCAGCTTCACTATGCGTCACAAAGCGTCTCAATGAAACAACGTCGGCGGTCACCGCCACCCGGGAGAGGCGGATGACGGACGAATCTACAAACGGGCGAGCGGGCGAGTCAACCGTTCAGCAGACCAGATCAAGCGGAGAACGACTTGCAGCTGCGATGCGGGGAGGGTTCTGACGGCCGCAGGCACAGGATGTGGTGTGGCAACACGAGTGGGTAGTATGAAAAATAAGAACAGTCTTAACCCTATATGGCAATGGAACAGGAGTTGGGTTAAGATGTTCAAACACCACCAAATAGAAACCTTTTAGCCAGGAATCAAGTCTGCACATAACCACACATACTTGTGGTGAACATGCAAACTAACTTGCTCTGATAATAAATGATGCATTGTCTTTGAAACTGATTGTCCTACAACAGAGACAGCGGCCTTCTCTATGGCCGAGTCTCACCACCAGTGTCAGACCAGAGAACAACGCCAAAATGCAAACAGTACAAAGACAATGCCAGTATCGGTGCACTTAGAGCTCGGGTTGAGCAGCTGTATCTATGGAACAATAAGGTCGGTGGATACCGTCCGTTGGGAGTCGTACGGATCCGAAGCGCTGGCACTGAAGCGCTCACCTCTCCATGCAAAGCAGCACGGAGAGGTGCGTGCTGGGAATTACACGGAGACAGGAAGAGGAGCACGTGCATGGGAGAACGTACGCAGGCCAGGGACGGCACATTTGACTGCTAAGAAAAGTTAAGCAGCCTTGGGCAGTACGTGTCGCGAGAAGGCCGGTGGGTCGCAAGACGGCCGACGATGGCCAGTGGCCGAGACTAACGACGGAACGGCAGCCCTAAGGGGCAACTCGCCCGAGAGGCGAGGCACGTCCACCCAAGAGATGGAGCGATGAAATGGGGGTCGTGTGCCGGTGCCAGGTGGATCGCTGCATTGCAGGATTGTGAAGAACGGCGATGGCCTGGGGAGGATGTCATCCAACAGCGGACTGATCATGGCTGGTAGATGATGACAGTGGATAGACTACCGGCCACGCTTCTTGCTTTGTGCGGGACCACCAGTTTTCCCCATTGTGCACCAAGGCTTAAATATTTGTCCTCTTCGCGCCACGTGTGTGTTTAAACACCCAAGGGGTGTATATTTACACACACACGCGCGTGCACGTGTGTGTGTGATGACTTGTGGGGAGCGGTGGTGTAGCGGTTAGCGCTGCGCTGCGCAACGAACCTGAAGACCCTGGTTCGATTCCCGCTCACAGCCAACACCGGTGACGATTATTTGAACCGGTCCCGGGCCTCCCCTAGATCGACTCAGCCTCAAATGAGTACCTGGTGCGATGTGTAAACATTGCCACTAGGGAGACAAAGGCGGCCGGGTCTCAGTTGTAAGTGCTGTTGCGGCTGGCAATAGCATCATGGACAAACGGCTGTACATACACACACGACTACGTACGTACGTATGTACGCACGCACGCACGCACTCCTGCTTCTAACAGATGGGTGGGCTCTGAGGGTTCAGTGCGCTGTTCTCGCACCACTGAGATCCTCGGTTCGGATCCCCGGTGTCAGCCGCTGCCCGTGATTAAACCAGATTCTCAAGCGCAGCGAGTTGATGGTCTCGGCCCAGTCACCGCAGGCTGCACCCAATGTTGCTAAATTCCAACTCTTGAGAATGATCGGACCGACCGCCATAGCGACAGACGTCACTGTCGGTGCACAAGAGGTCACTCGAAGATATTTCAGAAGCGGTTCTGCGTTGTCCGCTTTCTGTGGTCCGTCCTCGGACACGGAGGGGAGAAGGATTCCACTGCTGGCCAAGATGTCCCCAATGGATTCCCCCGTCTCACGACTCCACGCCGACGTCAAAAAACCGGGTGAAATAAAATATAAAGATGAAGAAAAAGCATCTCTCGCAGTACTCAGCCCTGCACTAGGCCATCGCAGAGCAGAACAAAGTTGCACTGAGAAGGCCTCCGATCTCATCAGATCGCAAAAAGCTAAGTGGGCTTGAGCCTGGTTCGTACTTGAATGCGTGTCCAGCCATCAGAGTACTAACCCCAGGCCTATGTGGTTGCAGTGTGGTCGAACAACCCACAACACTACTAGTGACATGGCACGGGGGGGGGGGGGGCAGCCTTCATCCAGCAGTTGATTGACAAAGGACTATCATTTATTGTTATTATAAATTATGTCAACGTGCCGAGGTTTTGTGAAAAGCCTGTGTCAATAAACGCCACTTAAGAGAGAAGAACAGGCAGACGAGGAAGCACAATGTTATCGCTTATCAGACGGCAGGGCCTCTTCAAATCCTTCAGTAAATATTTCAAGAGGGCTCTCTCGCTCTGCAAGGCAACAGTGGTGGTGGCGGCACTGACCCCCGAGTCGTCTCCGACTCCACCAAACAAACATTGCCCAAAGCTTTCCCAGCCACTGGGCGAGTGGTGAAGCTGAGAGGGAGGAAAGCGGTGTGGGGGGTAACTGGGTGGTTGAGATGATAAGGAGGAGGAAGAGGTGAAGGAGATAAGGGACTAGATAATGCCGGAGTTAGCCAGAAGCCGGCGGCGGGATTTTCCCCGACACCGCGCCTGCACGCAACGTGTGGGTCAACGCGGAATACCGTTAGCGGCTAGCTGCGGGTAGAGTGGTGGTGGTGGTGGTGCAGTGGTTAGCGCACTGCGCCATGAACCCAGCCGACACCTCCAGTATTTACTCCTTGTCACGGCTAACATCGGTGGCGAGTGATGTCTGAAACCTGTCCCCGTAGTCTTCTTGTTATTCACCCGCCCGCACAGGAGGTGAAGTATGGCCAAACAACCACCCAAGACCAAGACGACGTGGGGAGGTTTTTCATGCAGTGGTGGAGTGAACGAGGGCAGAACAATGTTATATTTCGATATAGGACTCATATCCACGTGTGAAAGGGGGTACACATTCAGCTTGGTTAATCGCATCGCTCGTGATTATTTTGCATAATCTATAGAACTGTGCGTGTCTCTGTGTGTGATCTATTCCCAGCACACACACAGGGTCACGGGGATATAAATGTTTCATCTTAAATGGCAGCTGAAGACAGCGAGACAGCAGCAGCAGGAGTTCATTTGGTTGTTAAACGAGCAGAAAATTTAGGAATGAAATGAAAGTGGGCAAACGAGAAAATCGAGGGCGGCTTCAGTTTCCGGGGGAAAGTGTTCATGGAAGCTCTTTGGCTTTTTCAAACGAATACCGAAAAATCGAGCGATGTTTGTTTAACAGGCCTGAAACCGCTGATGAGAACCCATGAAGCCGAAACTGATCATGTATGTTTGTTGAACTTCTTTCGCGAACGTGCTAATTGGAGGTGCAGGTCTGAAAATTATGATTATTGTTAAATGCTCAGCTCCGGCCCTCTCGACCGTACGGCGTCCCACGACCACCACCCATCAGCTGCGTGCAGCCGAGCGGCGGTGACGACGCTGCACGTGGCTGCCTCTAACCCAGCACTGCGGCTTGATTGGCGCGTGCCTACGTACGATCGGAAATCACGACGAGTCCCGACGAAGGACTGGAGTTTAGAAGCCCAGGTGGAGTTGGTGCAGAATCGAGTTCGTGATGATATTGCAAGCGATGCAGAACGATGCCCCCAACGCCCCGACCCCCCCCCCCCTCCCGCACCCCGCCCCCCCACCCCGGCTAGGGGGAGGGCGATGATGATGAGGAGGATTCGATGTTGGAGGATGAGCAGGGAGGAGGAGGGGGAGATAAAGGAGGAGAGATGAGCAGGATGATGGGAGGGCGAGAAGGAGGACGAGGACAGCTATGACGTTAACGACGATGACGACGATGACGCGTGGTGGCGCAAGCGACCCCGAGGGGCCCTCACCGTCGGCGAGGCCGTGCACGAGCGTCCACGCGGGGTCGGCGTGCGGCACCAGCGCGCCGGTGGCGTCCGTGCCGGCGCTCTGCTGGGCGGCGCGTAGCTGCTCCATGTCGCTGTCGCGGCTGTCCAGAGCCATCTGCAGCTCCAGCACCTTCTGGCTCTCCTCCAGCATTTGCTGTGCAGGGCAGCACGCAGTGGGGACGGGGGGGGGGGGGGAGCACGCGGTGGGGGGGGGACGGGGGAGGGCACGCGGGGAGTGGAGGGGGGCAACGCCAGGGGGCACCGGTCAAACATCACGAATCGCACATCGCAATCATCGCCGTCGTGGGGTCAACCGAGAGAGCTCACTGTGGCTGGGTGGCTCGGAGGTCAGATTGTTGAGCTGGTACCACTGAGATCCTGGGTTCGAATCCAGGCACAGGCCTGGGATTAAACCGGGAACTCAAGGGTAGTTGACGGTCTCTCCCTGGCCCTTAATGCTTTACATCCGCAGGCATGACAAGAGACTCACAGACTTCCACATCAAAGATCCCCCGGAAAAACCTTAACAGACGGTTGGGGCAAGTGCTGTCAGCGAACACCTACGAAGGTCGGAACGGCACACGAGGCAGTGGGTGTGGCCAGAAACCGCCTTTGCCGAGCGGCGATGTTTACATACCGCACCAGCTTCAATTCCAGCGCTGAGAATTCGAAATCTCGGTTTGACTCAAATGCAATGGAAGTGACTCCCTGTGGCAGGGCGGCTTAGTGCTGCCCTCTACTGCATTGACCGAAGGTGACTTGTTCCCTGCACAAGAACGAATACGGGGTGAACCGTACGGGTTGACGCGGTACGAGACTGGTTATTGTCGGCACACTCCCCCACCGCCCCGTGGAGACGAGGAGCGAATGGACAGCGACGCGTGGTGGAAGTGGTGGTGGTTGTGGAGGTGGTGGAGGTGGTGGTGGAGGTGGTGGGGGTAGTGGTGGTGGTAGAGGTGGTGAAAGTGGTGGTGGAAGTGGTGGTGGAGGTGGTGGTGGTGGAGGTGGTGGAGGTAGTGGTGGTGGTGGAAGTGGTGGAGGTGGTGGAGGTAGTGGAGGAGGTGGTGGTGGTGGTGGTGGAAGTAGTGGTGGTGGTGGAGGTGGTGGTGGTGGTGGTGGTGAAGGTGGTGGTGGTGGTGGTGAAAGTGGTGGTGGTGGAGGAGGTGGTGGTGGAGGTGGTGATGGTGGAGGTGGTGGTGGGAGGGGGGGAGGGGTTCCGAAACGTCCGAGCCTCCCACAAATTTGCCATCCTCAAGCCGCGGCAGCGACGACGACCAGCACCCACACCCACCCACACACCCATACACACCCACACACACCCACACACACCCACACACACCCACACACAGGCAGGCGGAGGCGGTGTGGGGAGAGACCCACGTTCTGCATGTCGTTGACCTCACGCTGGTACTTGGCCTCCATCTGCCCGTACTTGTCGCGCTCCTGGTTCAGCTCCAGCTGCAGCTTGCGATTCTCCTTCTCCTTGCGCTTCAGGTCGGTGGCGCTCGCCTGCCGTCGGTCCATCTTCATGTCCTTGCGGTTCATCACCTCCGCCAGCTTATTCACGGCCTGCCGGACGTGCCGCACGCACGCACGCATCGAACGGTGCGACAGGGCCTCGACGAGACCACAGGGGGAACGTTCGCTTTGTGGAGAGGCAGTGAGCCGTAGATCTCTATGCGAGTCTGTGGGTCTATATACGAGTTGATGGGTCTCTATGAGTCTGTGTCTTTATGCGAGTGTTTGGGTCCCTGTGAAAGTTCATGCGTCTCTATTTTAGCCTATGGGGATCTATACGAGTCTACAGGCCTCTACGTTAGTCTGTGGGTCCCTATGAGAGTCCACGAGTTCCTGTGCACGTCCATAGGTTTCTACGTAAGTCTATGGGGAACTATGCGAGTCAGTGCACAAACACGCACAAACACACACGAACACACGGACACACACGTGTGCACACACGCACGCCAGCGCACCTGAGTCTTGAGCGTTTTCTCCACCTGCAGCTGCTTCTCCACCTGAGCCTTGACGATGGACAGATTCGCATGCTCCCTCTTCAGGCTGTCGAGCTCTGCTTGCCACACACATACGTGACACATGCATGACGCGCCATGATACACATGTACGTATGAATGTATGTTGAACTTCTTTCGCGCCGTAGGTAGCTAACCGTGCTAATCGGAGGTGCAAACATGACACACATATGACGCACATAGTACACACACGTCAGCCATGCGCTGAGCCGGCGCCAACAAATGCCCAAGCGCTGCGGTCCTCTACCTATTAAGGTGTTATCGGTGAATTCATGAGAATTTTAAACCGGAGCACCCAGCGAAAACCCCACTCATGTGAAGGGGCAACACCCTATCCCATACAGACAGGAAAAGATAAAGTCCATATTTTTGCTGTACCGCCTTCTCCTGGCGAGCCAGGGTAACGGGCTCCTCTTCGACTCCCACTGGAAGAAGGGGAGTTTCAGAACACCCGTGTGTGTGTGTGTGTGCGGCGATCCGCCAACCCCTCGCTGCTGTCTCCACAGCGCTGGATCGCAGCAGTCACGTGCAGCGTGGTTGCCACCATCGCAGGCCGGCTAAGGGTCGCGTGCGAGCGTGCGAGCGAGCGAGCGTGCGTGCGAGCGTGCGAGCGTGCGAGCGTGCGTGCGAGCGTGCGTGCGTGCGAGCATGCGAGCGTGCGTGCGAGCGTGCATGCGTGCGTGTGTGCGGTCGCGCGACGTTTTGTCTGCAGTGACGTCGTCACCTTCTTGCATCGCGGTGAACTTCTGCGTCAGTTCCTCCTTCTCGGCCGTCAGAGCCGCGATGCCGTCCGTCAGCTTCTTGTTGGCCTCTGCGAGCTACAGAGCAGCCACAGGGGTCATCGATATCGCTGATAAAATTAAGAATAATTAATAATCATCATTTATATGGCGTGCGCTTAAATGCATCGACAACTCAAAGCGCCTTGCACCGCATCTCGTCTTCAATAATTTGAAGGGCACCTTCCTAGTGGCAGCCATCCCAGAATCGTCCCCAATAATTACCCAAGTTATGCAGTCCGATATTGAAATGTCGGGCCAAGTCCATCAACGTGTGTTTGTACACAAAGTTCCCCCGTGTAGCCTTAACAGACTGTAGGGGCAAGTGCTGTTAGCGGGCTCCTAAGAAGGCCGGCACGGCACACGAGGTGGTGGGTGGCCAGCACTACGCCCGGCCGCCTTTGTCTCCCCCCGGTTGGTGATGTTTACACACCGCACCAGGTACTCATTTGAGGCTGATTGTGAGCTGGAATCGAACACTTACACATGCGTGTAAGTGTGTATCACCGCATGTGTGTGCGTGCGTGTGTCACCGTGCGTGTCACTGTGCATGCATATCACCGTGCGTGCGTGTGTATCACTGTGCGTGCGTGTGCGTCACCGTGCGTGCGTTCGACTCACGGCGGAGCGCTGTGCCTCAAGGTCCCCGGTATCGGTGCGGTGCCGCGTCACCATCTCCTTCATCTCCAGCTCCTTCATGATCTTCTCCTTCTCCAGGTCCGAGTACTGCTCCTCCGCGATGGAGCGCGCCAGCTGCTCCGAGTCCGCCTTGGTCAGCGTCAGCTCCAGCTGAGCCGCCAGAGAGTCCCTGCCACCGCCGCCACCGACAAAACGACAAACAGCAACAATCAACAAGCGGCAGAGATACCAGTCAACAAGGTAAAACACAAAACTCAGTTTTGTGTTTTAGATTGTTGGCCTTCCCCCGCTACCTACGTACATACATAGAACTAGAACAACATCGTCATACATGTAATTCCAACGGTTAACATCAGGGTTAAATGTGATTGGTTGTTCCTGGGAGGTTCTGACACCGACTTAAAGAAGCTGGGTCAGGTGACGCGGTGGTTCCGACTTTCTGGGTCCAGACCTGACGATGCTTCAATGCAGTTTAAAGCGATACGTCGCGTATGGAACTGCAAAGTTAGGGTTAATTATGAATAACAACAATACTAAAACCAGCAAAGTTGTACAAAAACAAGCTGTCCAGCCAGTCCACAAAGAGAGCCTCCAATTAAAGAAAACATTTTAACTGTTGGCGTGAAGTGAGAAATGGCGATGGTGGTGAAGTCGTGCGAGTGACGGTGTTGATTGCGACGTTGCAGTGCGAGCAACGCTCTTGTGGACGTAACGGCAAAGCGCTCAACCTCCAGCCGGGTCGTACGGTGTCGGCCGACCCGGAAAATATTCCCGCGCACCCCGGCACACCACGTCCATCATACACGTCTCTCGCTGTGGCTGCGGGCTGGTTACGAGTCACGTGCCACGTGCCACCCTTGCTCCGGACTCGCCCAGCAAAACTGGAGAATATTTCAGCGAGGAACGGATCCCTGGGGTGAGGTTCACGGTGACGGTGAGGGTCACGGTGAGGTTCACGGTGAGGTTCACGGTGAGGTTCACGGTGAGGTTCACGGTGAGGTTCACGGTGAGGTTCACGGTGAGGTTCACGGTGAGGTTCACGGTGATGGTCACGGTGAGGTTCACGGTGAGGGTCACGGTGAGGTTCACGGTGAGGTTCACGGTGAGGTTCACGGTGAGGTTCACGGTGAGGTTCGCGACGACGAGTCTCACCGCTCGTTGCGCAGCTCCTGCTCCTGCGTCTGGAGCTCCTTGCACGCCCTCAGCCTCTCCTCGGCATCCTCCTTCAGCTCCCGCACCTGCGTCTTGTACAGCGTCTGCGTGCCCACAGGCAGGCGGATAACGGACGGACAGCAGCCGGACGGACCCTCGACGGCGCTCGCGGCAAACGGGGTGATGGTGGGTGAGTTCATTTGCGGAATAACCGGAGGTCACCCGGGGGGGGTGGGGTTCAAGTTCAAGCCAAGCTCCCGGCAGCCTCTGGCCGCCCGGGTGTATGTCGTAGCGGGCTAACAGATCGGTGGAACTCCCTCCCACCTTCGTCTCTTTGCACCCCACCCCCCCCCCCACCCCCGAGGTCTCACAACAACAACAACCCAGCTCAATTCAAGAAACGCTTCTCTACTGCAACTTCAAAGGTGCTGCTTGTTGCCGGGCCCTGTGCTCAGCACAATAAAAAAAATTAAACCCGAAAGAGAGTCGAACCCGGACGCTTATCTCCGTGGCGGCGGCGGCGACTCACGGAGAAGTAGTGCTCAGCCTCCAGCTGCTCCTGCAGCTCGCGCATCTGCCCCTCGTTGTCCTGCTTCTCCCTGCGCACGCACACGGACGTACACAGACATCGTTGTCGTCGTCGTCATCACATCATCATCAAATCGTCATCACGTCATCGTCATTAAATCATCATCACTGTCAACATCGCCACGCGCGTGAGTGAGTGATGCACCTGCGCATGTGAGCGAGCTGCTTCTCCAGAGCGATGCGCGCTTCCTGCAGCGCGTTCATCTCCTGCTTCAGCTGCTTCTCGCTCGTGCGCAGCGCCGTCGCCTGCTGCGCCTGCTGCTTCAGGTCGCCCTGCGTCAGCTGCCTCCGCTGCGCCTCCTGCTCCACCTTCAGCGACAGCGTCTTCACCTGGGGGGGGTGGCCGGGGCCGAGGGGGGAGAGACGGGGGGGGGGGGTCGGTGGGTGGGTGGGCGGGTCGGTGGGTGGGTGGGTGGCTAGGTCTGTGAGCCGGTGGGTCGGTGCGTGGCTGGCTGCGCAAGTGGTTAGGTCGGTGGGTCAGCGGGCGTGCGGCCCGGCTGGAGAAGCGGCTCACCTGCTCCTCCAGCGCCTCCCGGCTGAGGCCGAGCTGCGTCGCTTTGTGCCGAGCCTGCCGCACGTCGCACTCGGCCTCGTGCAGGCGCCTCTCCAGCGCGACGGCGTGCGCCTCGGCGCGCTGGCGCCACGACCGCTCCTCCGCCACCATCTTCTCCGTCTCTGCTCGCGACGAGCGCACGCGGGGCGGTGACGCGGCCAAACGGGGGTCGCGGTTGCAGCCCAACGTGGGGCGTCGCGGTTCGAGCCCGACCCCTCGTGTGCGCTCACGCCGCACGCGCCGCCGCTCGCCAGACACCACCGCACGCCAGACACCACCGCACGCCAGACACCACCGCGCCCCAAACACCACCGCTCGCCAGACACCACCGCACCCCAGACACCACCGCACCCCAGACACCACCGCGCCCCAGACACCACCGCACCCCAGACACCACCGCGCCCCAGACACCACCGCACCCCAGACACCACCGCGCCCCAGACACCACCGCACCCCAGACACCACCGCACCCCAGACACCACCGCTCGCCAGACACCACCGCACCCCAGACACCACCGCTCGCCAGACACCACCGCACGCCAGACACCACCGCACCCCAGACACCACCGCTCGCCAGACACCACCGCACCCCAGACACCACCGCTCGCCAGACACCACCGCGCCCCAGACACCACCGCACCCCAGACACCACCGCACCCCAGACACCACCGCACGCCAGACACCACCGCACGCCAGACACCACCGCACGCCAGACACCACCGCACCCCAAACACCACCGCACCCCAGACACCACCGCACCCCAGACACCACCGCACCCCAGACACCACCGCACCCCAGACACCACCGCACCCCAAACACCACCGCACCCCAGACACCACCGGACCCCAAACACCACCGCACCCCAAACACCACCGCACCCCAAACACCACCGCACCCCAGACACCACCGGACCCCAAACACCACCGCACCCCAAACACCACCGGACCCCAAACACCACCGCACCCCAGACACCACCGCACCCCAGACACCACCGCACACCAGACACCACCGCACCCCAGACACCACCGCACCCCAGACACCACCGCACCCCAGACACCACCGCACCCCAAACACCACCGCACCCCAAACACCACCGGACCCCAAACACCACCGCACCCCAAACACCACCGCACCCCAAACACCACCGCACCCCAGACACCACCGCGCCCCAAACACCACCGCACCCCAGACACCACCACACCCCAAACACCACCGCACCCCAGACACCACCGCACCCCAGACACCACTGCACCCCAGACACCACCGCACCCCAGACACCACCGCACCCCAGACACCACCGCACCCCAGACACCACCGCACCCCAGACACCACCGCACCCCAAACACCACCGCACCCCAGACACCACCGGACCCCAAACACCACCGCACCCCAGACACCACCGCACCCCAGACACCACCGCACCCCAAACACCACCGCACCCCAGACACCACCGCGCCCCAAACACCACCGCACCCCAGACACAACCGGACCCCAAACACCACCGCACCCCAAACACCACCGCACCCCAGACACCACCGCGCCCCCAAACACCACCGCACCCCAGACACCACCACACCCCAAACACCACCGCACCCCAGACACCACCGCACCCCAGACACCACCGCACCCCAAACACCACCGCACCCCAGACACCACCGACCCCAAACACCACCGCACCCCAGACACCACCACACCCCAAAACACCACCGCTCGCCAGACACCACCGCACGCCAGACACCACCCGCGCCCCAAACACCACCGCACGCCAGACACCACCGCACCCCAGACACCACCGCACCCCAGACACCACCGCGCCCCAGACACCACCGCGCCCCAAACACCACCGCACCCCAAACACCACCGCACCCCAGACACCACCGCACACCAGACACCACCGCACACCAGACACCACCGCACCCCAGACACCACCGCACCCCAGACACCACCGCACCCCAGACACCACCGCACCCCAGACACCACCGCACCCCAGACACCACCGCACCCCAAACACCACCGCACCCCAGACACCACCGCACCCCAGACACCACCGGACCCCAAACACCACCGCACCCCCAGACACCACCGCACCCCAGACACCACCGCGCCCCAAACACCACCGCACCCCAGACACCACGCACCCCAAACACCACCGGACCCCAGACACCACCGCACCCCAGACACCACCGCACCCCAAACACCACCGCACCCCAGACACCACCGGACCCCAAACACCACCGCACCCCAAACACCACCGCACCCCAAACACCACCGAACCCCAGACACCACCGCACCCCAAACACCACCGCACCCCAGACACCACCGGACCCCAAACACCACCGCACCCCAGACACCACCGGACCCCAAACACCACCGCACCCAAACACCACCGCACCCCAGACACCACTGCACCCCAAACACCACCGCACCCAGACACCACCGGACCCCAAACACCACCGCACCCAAACACCACCGGACCCCAAACACCACCGCACCCCAGACACCACCGCACCCCAGACACCACCGCACGCCAGACACCACCGCACGCCAGACACCACCGCACGCCAGACACCACCGCGCCCCAAACACCACCGCTCGCCAGACACCACCGCACCCCAGACACCACCGCACCCCAGACACCACCGGCGCCCCGACACCACCGCACCCCAGGACACCACCGCGCCCCCAGACACCACCGCACCCCAGGACACCACCGCGCCCCAGACACCACCGCACCCCAGACACCACCGCACCCCAGACACCACCGCTCGCCAGACACCACCGCACCCCAGACACCACCGCTCGCCAGACACCACCGCACGCCAGACACCACCGCACCCCAAACACCACCCGCTCGCCAGACACCACCGCACCCCAGACACCACCGCTCGCCAGACACCACCGCGCCCCAGACACCACCGCACCCCAGACACCACCGCACCCCAGACACCACCGCACGCCAGACACCACCGCACGCCAGACACCACCGCACGCCAGACACCACCGCACCCCAAACACCACCGCACCCCAGACACCACCGCACCCCAGACACCACCGCACCCCAGACACCACCGCACCCCAGACACCACCGCACCCCAAACACCACCGCACCCCAGACACCACCGGACCCCAAACACCACCGCACCCCAAACACCACTGCACCCCAAACACCACCGCACCCCAGACACCACCGGACCCCAAACACCACCGCACCCCAAACACCACCGGACCCCAAACACCACCGCACCCCAGACACCACCGCACCCCAGACACCACCGCACACCAGACACCACCGCACCCCAGACACCACCGCACCCCAAACACCACCGCACCCCAGACACCACCGGACCCCAAACACCACCGCACCCCAAACACCACCGGACCCCAAAACACCCACGCACCCCAACACCACCGCACCCAAACACCACCGCACCCCAGACACCACCGCGCCCCAAACACCACCGCACCCCAGACACCACCCCACCCCAAACACCACCGCACCCCAGACACCACCGCACCCCAGACACCACTGCACCCCAGACACCACCGCACCCCAGACACCACCGCACACCAGACACCACCGCACCCCAGACACCACCGCACCCCAGACACCACCGCACCCCAAAACACCACCGCACCCCAGACACCACCGGACCCCAACACCACCGCACCCCAGACACCACCGCACCCCAGACACCACCGCACCCAAACACCACCGCACCCCAGACACCCACCGCGCCCCAAACACCACCGCACCCAGACACCACCGGACCCCAAACACCACCGCACCCCAAACACCACCGCACCCCAGACACCACCGCCGCCCCAAACACCACCGCACCCCAGACACCACCACACCCCAAACACCACCGCACCCCCAGACACCACCGCACCCCAGACACCACCGCACCCCAGAAGCAAACACCACCGTCACCCCAGACACCACCGCACCCCAGACACCACCGCACCCCAGACACCACCGCACCCCAGACACCACCGCTCGCCAGACACCCACCGCGCCCCAGACACCACCGCACCCCAGACACCACCGCACCCCAGGACACCACCGCACGCCAGAACACCTCGCACGCCAGACACCACCGCACGCCAGACACCACCGCACCCCAAACACCACCGCACCCCAGACACCACCGCACCCCAGACACCACCGCACCCCAGACACCACCGCACCACAGAAACCACCGCACCCCAAACAACCAACAGCACCCCAGACACCACCGGACCCCCAAACACCACCGCACACCCAAACACCACTGCACCCCAAACACCCACCGCACCCCAGACACCACCGGACCCCACAGACCACCGCACCCCAAACACCACCGGACCCCCAACACCACCGCACCCCAGACACCACCGCACCCCAGACACCACCGCACACCAGACACCACCGCACCCCAGACCCCACCGCACCCCAAACACCACCGCACCCCAGACCCACCGGACCCCAAACACCACCGCACCCCAAAACACCACCGGACCCCAACACCACCGCACCCCAAACACACACCGCACCCCCAAACACCACCGCACCCCAGACACCACCGCGCCCCAAACACCACCGCACCCAGACACCACCACACCCCAAACACCACCGCACCCAGACACCACCGCACCCCAGACACACTGCACCCCAGACACCACCGCACCCAGACACCACCGCACCCCAGACACCACCGCACCCAGACACCACCGCACCCCAGACACCACCGCACCCAAACACCACCGCACCCCGACACCACCGGACCCCAAACACCACCGCACCCCAGAGCACCAACCGCACCCCAGACACCACCGCACCCCAAACACCACCGCACCCAGACACCACCGCGCCCCAAACACCACCGCACCCAGACACCACCGACCCCAAAACCACCGGCACCCCAAACACCACCGCACCCCAGACACCACCGCGCCCAAACACCACCGCACCCCAGACACCACCACACCCCAGACACCACGCACCCACAGACACCACCGCACCCCCAGACACCACCGCACCCCAAACACCACCGCACCCCAGACACACCGGACCCCAAACACCACCGCACCCAGACACCACCACACCCCAACACACCACCGCCTCGCCAGACACCACCGCACGCCAGACACCACCGCGCCCAAACACCACCGCACGCCAGACACCACCGCACGCCAGACACCACCGCACCCCAGACACACCGGCGCACCCAGACACCACCGCGCCCCAGACACACCACCGCACCCCAAACACCACCGCACCCCAGACACCACCGCACACCAGACACCACCGCCACACCAGACACCACCGCACACCAGACACCACCGCACCCCAGACACCACCGCACCCCAGACACCACCGCACCCCAGACACCACCGCACCCCAGACACCACCGCACCCCAAACACCACCGCACCCCAGACACCACCGCACCCCAGACACCACCGCACCCCAAACACCACCGCACCCAGACACCACCGCACCCCAGACACCACCGGACCCCAAACACCACCGCACCCCAGACACCACCGCACCCCAGACACCACCGCGCCCCAAACACCACCGCACCCCAGACACCACCGCACCCCAAACACCACCGGACCCCAGACACCACCGCACCCCCGACACCACCGCACCCCAAACACCCACCCGCACCCCAGACACCACCGGACCCCAAACACCACCGCACCCCAAACACCACCGCACCCCAAACACCACCGCACCCCAGACACCACCGCACCCCAAACACCACCGCACCCCAGACACCACCGGACCCCAAACACCACCGCACCCCAGACACCACCGGACCCCAAACACCACCGCACCCCAACACCACCGCACCCCAGACACCACTGCACCCCAACACCACCGCACCCCAGACACCACCGACCCCAAACACCACCGCACCCAAAACACCACCGGACCCCAAACACCACCGCACCCCAAGACACCACCGCACCCCAGACACCACCAGCACTGCCAGACACCACCGCACGCCAGACACCACCGCACGCCAGACACCACCGCGCCCCAAACACCACCGCTCGCCAGACACCACCGCACCCCAGACACCACCGCACCCCAGACACCACCGCACCCCAGACACCACCGCACCCCAGACACCACACCGCGCCCCAGACACCACCGCACCCCCAGACACCACCGCGCCCCAGACACCACCGCACCCCAGACACCACCGCACCCCAGACACCACCGCTCGCCAGACACCACCGCCTACCCCAGACAACCACCGCTCGCCAGACACCACCGCACGCCAGACACCACCGCACCCCAGACACCACCGCTCGCCCAGACACCACCGCACCCCAGACACCACCGCCTCGCCAGACACCACCGCGCCCAGACACCACCGCACCCCAGACACCACCGCACCCCAGACACCACCGCACGCCAGACACCACCGCACGCCAGACACCACCGCAACGCCAGACACCACCGCACCCAAACACCACCGCACCCCAGACACCACCGCACCCCAGACACCACCGCACCCAGACACCACCGCACCCCAGACACCACCGCACCCCAAACACCACCGCACCCCAGACACCACCGGACCCCAAACACCACCGCACCCCAAACACCACTGCACCCCAAACACCACCGCACCCCAGACAACCACCGGACCCCAAACACCACCGCACCCCAAACACCACCGGACCCCAAACACCACCGCACCCCAGACACCACCGCACCCCAGACACCACCGCACACCAGACACCAACCGCACCCCAGACACCACCGCACCCCAAACACCACCGCACCCCAGACATCCACCGGACCCCAAACACCACCGCACCCCAAACACCCACGGACCCCAAACACCACCGCACCCCAAACACCACCGCACCCCAAACACCACCGCACCCCAGACACCCACCGCGCCCCAAACACCACCCGCACCCAGACACCACCACACCCCAAACACCACCGCACCCAGACACCACCGCACCCCAGACACCACTGCACCCAGACACCACCGCACCCCAGACACCACGCACCCAGACACCACCGCACCCCAGACACCACCGCACCCCAGACACCACGCACCCCAAACACCACCCACCCAGACACCACCGGACCCCAAACACCACCACCGCACCCAGACACCACCGCACCCCAGACACCACCGCAACCCCAAACACCACGCACCCCAGGACACCAACCGCGCCCCAAACACCACCGCACCCCAGACACCACCGGACCCCAAACACCACCGCACCCCAAACACCACCGCACCCCAGACACCACCGCGCCCCAAACACCACCGCACCCCAGGACACCACCACACCCCAAACACGCACCGCACCCCCAGACACCACCGCACCCAGACACCACCGCACCCCAAACACCACCGCACCCCAGACACCACCGGACCCCAAACACCACCGCACCCCAGACACCACCACACCCCAAACACCACCGCTCGCCAGACACCACCGCACGCCAGACACCACCGCGCCCCAAACACCACCGCACGCCAGACACCACCGCACGCCAGACACCACCGCACCCCAGACACCACCGCGCCCCAGACACCACCGCGCCCCAAACACCACCGCACCCCAAACACCACCGCACCCCAGACACCACCGCACACCAGACACCACCGCACACCAGACACCACCGCACACCAGACACCACCGCACCCCAGACACCACCGCACCCCAGACACCACCGCACCCCAGACACCACCGCACCCCAGACACCACCGCACCCCAAACACCACCGCACCCCAGACACCACCGCACCCCAGACACCACCGCACCCCAAACACCACCGCACCCCAGACACCACCGCACCCCAGACACCACCGGACCCCAAACACCACCGCACCCAGACACCACCGCACCCCAGACACCACCGCGCCCCAACACCACCGCACCCCAGACACCACCGCACCCCAAACACCACCGGACCCCAGACACCACCGCACCCCAGACACCACCGCACCCCAAACACCACCGCACCCCAGACACCACCGGCCCCAAACACCACCGCACCCCAAACACCACCGCACCCCCAAACACCACCGAACCCCAGACACCACCGCACCCCAAACACCACCGCACCCCAGACACCACCGGACCCCAAACACCACCGCACCCCAGACACCACCGGACCCCAAACACCACCGCACCCCAAACACCACCGCACCCCAAACACCACCGCACCCCAGACACCACCGCGCCCCAAACACCACCGCACCCCAGACACCACCACACCCCAAACACCACCGCACCCCAGACACCACCGCACCCCAGACACCACCGCACCCCAGACACCACCGCACCCCAGACACCACCGCACCCCAGACACCACCGCACCCCAGACACCACCGCACCCCAAACACCACCGCACCCCAGACACCACCGGACCCCAAACACCACCGCACCCCAGACACCACCGCACCCCAGACACCACCGCACCCCAAACACCACCGCACCCCAGACACCACCGCGCCCCAAACACCACCGCACCCCAGACACCACCGCACCCCAGACACCACCGCACCCCAACACCACCGCACCCCAGACACCACCGCGCCCCAAACACCAACTCACCCCAGACACCACCACACCCCAAACACCACCGCACCCCAGACACCACCGCACCCCAGACACCACCGCACCCCAAACACCACCGCACCCCAGACACCACCGGACCCCAAACACCACCGCACCCCAAACACCACCGCACCCCAGACACCACCGCGCCCCAAACACCACCGCACCCCAAACACCACCGCACGCCAGACACCACCGCACCCCAGACACACCGCACCCAGACACCACCGCACCAGACACCACCGCACCCCAGACACCACCGCACCCCAGACACCACCGCACCCCAGACACCACCGCACCCCAAACACCAACACTGCTCACCGCGCGCCGCCACTCACCGCCGCACGGCTTGCGACTTGGCACCCTCGATGGACGTGTGCTTGTCGTCGAGCCGCGCCATCGTGGCTCGGTGCGCCGCCACCCTCGTGCTCGAGGCTCTGCTGAGCGGCACGCAGCTTGTAAGCTCAGCTCGATCTCCGCGCCGTTCTTCTCCTGCGGTGGGGGAGGGGGGGGGTCACGGGGTCGCCGAGTTGTTACAGAGCGCCCCCTCACCCCGAGTCTCTCTTCGCCCCCCCGTTCAGATTTGGCTGGCCGGCTTAAGGGGGCGGAAGTTGACGACGGCTGAGCTTGCAACGTTTCGATTCGCGAGTTAAGCGCAGCGTGATGAAACCGCCTTCTAATGTGGAGTGGAGCGAGCTGAATTCCAGATTTGAACCCAGGTCTCAAGTCTGTGGGGGTGGTTCAGCACTCCGATCCCCAGAACAACCCGGACACCTCACCTCAGGGCTGACAGAGATATACATTTTTCCACTTCACATCCGAGCCGTGCTGAGCTAGCCCGTGCTGCTGAAGTTGCGCGCAACGACAGGCGGCGGGAGACGCGTGCGGACAATTGCCGTGACGACGCCTTCGCAGACGTCGCGCGCGCGGTCACCGCATTATTAGTGTCGCCCCCCGGCCCTGGCTTGTCTCCGAGCCAGATTACAGACGTCCTGCGAGGCAAGCAGCGCATCACGGCCTGGTTCCGGCTCGGCACGGGTAACGGCCGGTGGAAAACCACCCGTGCCCCGTGAGGGCCCCCGCGCTGGCACGGTTCGGGTGTGCCAGTGGAAAAGGGTTTAGAGACAGAGTTGAGACGCAGGGGGGTGGCGTGAGGAGAGGCAGGTCGGGGTGTGCGTTGACCTTCTCCAGGTCGATAAGTCGCTCCTGGAGATGCCGGCTCTCCGTCTCGGCCTTCGTCAGGCTGAGCTTCAGGCCCCGAGCCTCCTCCTCCAGTGCAGACACGCGACCTGGGGACACCACACGAACACACAAACGTATGTATGCACGAATGTACACATGCACTTACACACGCATGTACACACGCATGTACACACGCATGTACACAGACAGAAAGATTTCCCGTATAGCCTACAACAGACTCTTGGAGCATTTACTTGTCCATGGACCCACCCACTCACTCACCCACCAACCCACCCACCTGCCCTCCCACCCACCCACCCACTCACCCACTCACCCACCCACTCACCCACTCATCCACCCACCCACCCACCCACTCATCCACCCACTCAATCACCCACCCACCCACGCAAGGGAAGGAGATAATGAAGCACTGAAGGTACTGAAGGCACGGGGTTGAGTGGCACGGTATTTAGGGGAGACTTGAAAGCAAAGAGAGATGGGAGCCGTCGTTGGTTATTGGGTGGTTTGTTGGGTGGTTGACCGGTTGAGTGATTGGGTGGTTGGGTAGGTTGAGTGGTTGAGTGGTTGGGCGTTTGCATGGTTGGGTGGTTGGGTGGGTTGAGTGGTTAAGTGGCTGGGTGGTTGAGTGGTTGGGCGTTTGCGTGGTTGAGTGGCTGGGTGGTTGGGTGGGTTGAGTGCTTGAGTGGCTGGGCGGTTGAGTGGCTGGTGCCGCCCGGCCGCACCTTGTGCCTCTGTGAACGCCTCGTGCCCGGTGGTGCGGTCCCTCCGCTCGGCCTCCAGCGCCGACTGCAGCGAGATGCGCTCCTTCTCCAGCGCCAGCTTGATGCCCTCCAGTCCTCGGGCCTTCTCCTGCAGCTCCGAGTGCGCGGCCTCCAGGGAGGCGAGCGAGCGCGCCGAGTCGGCCTGCGCCTTGCGGAGCCGCGCTGAGCCCTCCCCCTCCGCCTTGAGCAGGGACGTCACCTCCTCCAGCTGCGGGGAGATGTGCGGGGACACGATTGTATGGAAACACCGAGACGAGCTAACCCCTCCAACCTCCACCTTGAGCAGGGACGACATCTCCTCCCGCTACATGGAGACATGCGGCGACACGGGGACGCGGAGACACGCAGACCTCTCCACCCCCACCCTGAGCAGCGACAAGACCTCTCTCCGTCAGCGGTGGGCGGGCAAGAGAGGTCAAGGGGTCACAAGAGGAGATGGGGGGGGGAATGAGGACTGTGTGAGCAAATGAGCAAGTGAATGAGTGAGTGATTGACGAAGTGAGCAAGTGACAGAGTGAGCGGGCAATCAGGTGACTGAGTGATTGAGTGAGCGTGAGCGAGGGCGAGCACCCCACCTGCTTCTGCAGCTGGACGACCCTCTCGCTGGACGCCTGCGAGCTCTGGTTCCGCTTGCGAGTCTCCTCCAGCTGATCCTTGAGCGACAACACTGCAAGGACGAACAAAAACAGCAGCGGCAGTGACGTCACCGCGGTCCTTGTGCAAGGCTAGGTGCGCTTTAGGCCACGTGAAGTGTGTAAGGCCCGCTGGCAGGTGGTCACGGGATGTAGCCAAAGTGGCGTAGGTCGACCGACCGAGATGACCGGCTCACAACAACGAGTGAAGCGCCGGGCGGGCTAAAATTCAGCAAGTTAGCACAGTAGGGAGGCACAGGTGGTGCCGTCTGCCGGTCATCTCGGTGGACAAACACACACACACACACAGACAAAAAAACAAACACACAGATGCACACAGAGCTGAACACAGGCAGACAGAGACACACACACAGGGACAAGCACACGCAGTCAGTGTGTGTGGCACGCAGCGTCGCGCACTGCCCGCTGAGATTTCCGACCGGATTCTTCGTCGAGTGACGCGAAGCCGGCAGCGCGATGAGAACCGAAACGAGGAAGACGACGGACAAACTCGGCTCGGCTGACGGTCCCCACGTCCTCTGTAGGAGCGCCCAGTAATTTTTTTGTGGCAAGTACAAAGTTGAAGAAACGAAACGTAGATTGCGGAGGCTTTCGCGACCAATGTTATCCATAATAACGTTTTTTTTTCTTGGGTTAGACCGCATAAGTACGTCGTACTTGACCTGTGAATGTTGTGGGTTTTACGCTCCAACACACCGGTGTGCTGAAGTAGAAATTGGCACGTTTTGTTTATGTGACAAACCCTACTAATTGGCGTGTTTAACAACGTATTTATATTGACGAGATCTATGTATATATGTAGAACTTCTTTCGCACCGTACGTAGCCAACCATGCTAATATAATCCAAAAAAACCCCTTTATTATGGGTAGATTGCTTGTTTATTATTTTAAATCATGGGTCGCTCATTGCTAGGCCCGGAATGTACGATTCTCACGCGTCTCCCGTCAGCTCGCCTATCCGCTGGTCCGTTTCCCCTGGGGTCAACGTCAAGGTCAACTGTGACCGCCTAAGTGCGGCAGCGCCACCGCGGCGCGTGGCGATGGGGCGTGGCGGTGGGGCGTGGCGGTGGGGCGTGGCGGTGGGGCGTGGCGGTGGGGCGTGCGGTGGGGCGTGGCGGTGGGGCGTGGCGGTGGGGCGTGGCGGTGGCGCTCGCGGACCCTCGGCCTCCTGGGCGCGCCTCCTCTCCGACTCCTGCTCCGCACGGCGCTGCCCGTCCGCCGCCCGGTGCTGCATTAGCGCCCTGTCTCGCTCCAGCTGGTGCAGAGCCGCCTCCAGGGCCTTGCGCCCTCCACCTGCACAAAGACGGAGATCCCCCACCGCCCCCCCCCCCCCAGTGCAGCCTTAGCACGCTGTAGGGGAAAGTGTCGCGCGTATGAAGGCGAGCAGCACCTGGAGGCCGGCGCGGCACACGAGGTGGGGGGGCGTGGCCAGCCTTCGTCACGCATCGCACCGGATATTAATTTGAGGCCGAGTCGACCTAGGAGAGTCCCAAGACGGGCTCATATAATGGTCACCCGGTGTTGGCGATGAATCGGACTCGGGTCGCTGGATTCGTCCCGCGCCGCGCAAACCGCTCCGCGCATGCACTCACAAACCACTCCGCACACGCACTCACAAACCGCTCCGCGCACACACTCACAAACCACTCCGCACACGCACTCACAAACCGCTCCGTGCACGCACTCACAAACCACTCCGCACACGCACTCACAAACCGCTCCGTGCACGCACTCACAAACCACTCCGTGCACGCACTCACAAACCACTCCGCACACGCACTCACAAACCGCTCCGTGCACGCACTCACAAACCACTCCGTGCACGCACTCACAAACCACTCCGTGCACGCACTCACAAACCACTCCTGCGCACGCACTCACAAACCACTCCGCGCACGCACTCACAAACCACTCCGCGCACAGCACTCACAAAACCGCTCCGCGCACGCACTCACAAACCACTCCACGCATGCACTCACAAACCACTCCGCGCACGCACTCACCAAACCACTCCGCGCACGCACTCACAAACCGCTCCGCGCAGCACTCACAAACCGCTCCGCGCACGCACTCACGCACCAACCCCGCGTGTGCATGAACGCACGAAGTGATCGTGCGTGGCCCAAACGCCCCCCCACCACCACCACCCCTCACCTCCGTGTCCCACTCGGTGACAAGTTTCTCCAGGCGCACGTTGGTCGACCTGCACACGGGCGCACAGAGCAGCGGCAGAGATGGTCGCTCGCACAGCAGCGATGGTGGCAGAGTTCAGTACCAGGCCGTGGCTTGGCAATGCATTTCCCTCTTCTGCTGGCACATCCGAGCCGAGCCAGCGCGGAATGGGTCGTTTTTCCACTGGCTGTTTGCCGAGCCGAGCCGGAACGGAAACCGTGACATGTCGCTGGCCTCACAAGACGTCTGAATATGATGTCACAATTTGATTCGATGGGGCCAAGCAGGGCCAGGGGGGTGGGGTTATTTCGTTTAATCATTGCAAGTGATGTCCAGGGCACAGCTTGGGTTCTGCAGTGGAGAAAAAACCGGGGCTCCTCCATATCCACGCCGGGCTGTCTCAGCGTGATTTATTATTAAGATTTTCATTGAAAATTCACGGGGTATCGGTTAATACGCAAAGAAACGAAATAAAAACGCAGACAACACGTTACCTTCACGTATCTGTCTCTCCACATTCTTACACAACCCATCGCTCGCACGCATGGCCTTCTGGGAGCAGCACCGAATCAAGACTGATTTTGACATAACACCGTCTCATCAGCAGAGCGCAAAGAAAGATGACCCTGCTTTACGAACACGCAAGGCGAACACAACCAATCGTAAGCGGAACCAATATTCCCGAACACTGGTTCTGTCAGAGGAACAAATACTTCATTCATCCTGAACAAATGTTCGCGGGCGATCAAACTGCTCTCAGATACCGGTAGCAGGCGCCCCCCACCCCCACCTGAACTTCTGCTCCATCTCATCCTTGGCCTGGATCTCCGCGTGCAGCTGCTCCTCCAGTTGGATAACTTTCTGCTTCAGGGCCTCCACCTGCTGGGAGCAGGATGGACGACGGTGGGGTGGAGGGAGGGGAGGGAGGGAGATTCAAGTCAGAGGACAGGGGTGGATCGCGCCTCTGGGTTGAGGAGACACTGGGTGGGTGTTTCAGCACAATTAGCTAAATAAATAAAATAATTCTTTAGAGTATTTTGCTGCTGTAAATGTCCACATGATAAGCCACTTCGGTGAGCTATCATTTGTGGCCAGGTCTCTTTTGAAAAATAAGTAAATAGCTCAGTGGGCTTTACCTGGTAAGATAATTAGTTCAGTTTTCTCTGTATATTTTTTGCAAGTGATGTGTTTACCTTTCCTATACTTTGCACTCCTATCGTGTTTTTTCTACCGTTTGTTGTTGTAACTTTGTGACCAGCCCCTACTGGACACGTGTGAAAAAGAGCTTTATAGCTCATCGGTTTCCTCCAGTGTAAATAAATAAAATTAACATTCTGGTTGTGACTCGGCGATTCAAGGTGTTGCTGCTGCTGCTGCGATGGCCACGGAAGCCGCGGCACCGCCCTCACCTGCTCCTTGGTCTGCGCGCGACGTGACGGCGGCGTGGGTTCGGCAGCGTCGGAACACAAACGCAGGGAGGAAAAAATAATTAGACGGCACGGAAGCGCGGAGGTGGTGGTGGTGGTGGTGACGAGTCGTGAGTCGGTCGCGATCGGATGGGTCGGTCATGGATCCCGTGACCAAATCACGCGGAACGCGCCCAACCTCGACACATCTCGGATGCCAAGCAAAGGTCAGCGGCGCAGGAGGCAGGGACAAGTGCCGTTAAGCGAGCACCGAAGAAGGCCGGCACGGCGCACGAGGGGTGGGTGGTCTGCACCGCGCCCAGGCGCCTTTGTCTCCCCAGTGGCGACGTTTACACACCGCACCGGGTACTCATTTGAGGCCGAGTCGACCTAGCGAGCGGGAATCGCACTCGGGGACGCCGGGTTCGCAGCGCAACGTAGCCGCTAACCGCTACACCACCGCCCGCAGCCACAGCGGGCGGTACACTGGACGTGGTGGGCCGTGTAGGGAAGTATTTTTTGCGGGTGGCCGACCTGGACAGACCCGTCCGTTTCGACGCCGCTTCTGTTGACATCACGTCCCCGTCGTTCGGAGTTCCCGTCAACGGAAACCAAGGCCGTCCCCCCGTTCCAGCTCCGGCTCAATGACGACGACAACACCGGACACGAGGGCCCGGTGTTGTACCGCGCCATGCCCGACGTTTTGCCCCTCGCTGGGGCGCCAGGGGTGGCAATGCGGCGGTACCACGCACGACTCGGGGCAAGAAGGGCCTGGGTTCGATTTCTGGCTTGGGCTCTTTCACTGTTTGTATGACCTGCCTCTATCCTGCGATGTGAGCGAGCGTGATTTCGCACCGTACGTAGCAAATCGTGCTAATATTGGTAGGTGTTAGTGTGTGCGTGTGAGAGTGTGGAGCTGATAAGTTCCCCCCCCTGTTCTGAATGGTTTCCTCCGAAAGACAAACGCACACATGCAACAGAACCGATTTTGGCTAAAACATCTCAATGCTGAAAAATTACACTGCAATTTACCCAATTGGGATCGCGCACGGCAGCAACCATCAGCACAGGGTGGCACAAGGGCAGAGCACTCGCCTGGTTGTCTCCTCGAGTCGTTGTGCCACCTCCTCGTCCAGACGGCGTGTCCACCTCGTCGGTATCCAGCAGCCTGCAGTCGTCGCCAACACGTCCATCGACACGACCAACGACGCTTCCACCGACAAGACCACCGACAAGTCCACTGACACGACGACCACCGACACGTCCAACGACACAACCGGCGACACGACCAACAAGACGACTGCCGACACAACCGGCGACATGTCCACCGACACGACCAACGACGCTTCCACCGACAAGACCACCAACAAGTCCACCGACACGACCACCGACACGACCACCGACACAACCGGCGACACAACCGGCGACACGTCCAATGACACGACCACCAACAAGTCCACCGACACAACCGGCGACACAACCACCGACAACCAGCGACACGTCCACCAACACGACCACCGACACAACCGGCGACACGTCCACCAACACGACCACCGACACAACTGGCGACACGTCCACCAACACGACCACCGACACAACCGGCGACACGTCCACCAACACGACCACCGACACAACCGGCGACACGACCACCAACACGTCCACCAACACGACCACCAACACGACCACCAACGCGTCCACCAACACGACCACCAACACGACCACCAACGCGTCCACCAACGCGTCCACCAACACGACCACCAACACGACCACCAACGCGTCCACCAACGCGTCCACCAACACGTCCACCAACGCGTCCACCAACACGACCACCAACACGACCACCAACACGACCACCAACACGTCCACCAACACGACCACCAACACGACCACCAACACGACCACCAACACGACCACCAACACGACCACCAACACGACCACCAACACGACCACCAACGCGTCCACCAACACGACCACCAACACGTCCACCAACACGACCACCAACACGACCACCGACACGACCACCGACAACCGGCGACACGTCCACCAACACGACCACCAACACGTCCACCAACGCGTCCACCAACGCGTCCACCAACACGTCCACCAACGCGTCCACCAACACGTCCACCAACACGACCACCAACGCGTCCACCAACACGTCCACCAACGCGTCCACCAACACGACCACCGACACGACCGAAGCAGCCACTTGGACGTTTAAGCCTCGATGATCCGGGCTGCGCATTAGACGGTGAAAGTAACTTCACACGCGCGCCGCTTTAACTGTCGGCTGCTCCTCACTCACCTAGGGTCGGCGGACTCGGCGCCCACAAAAACCCACACGTAATCCTATTACTTTCATAAAAAATTATGCTTACTTTGACAAGTAACCCTATTACTTTGACGAGCAATAAAAACCGACGGCGTGATCAGCGCCTGCGCCCCCGCTCGTTCTCGCTAAACTTCACGTACGGTCTACATCCTCACGGACGCGAGTTTTACATCACCCGCAATTTAGTCTTATCCGGGCCAAGTCTTCGCGACAATATTTACCCCGAATGTCCGAGAATATCCTATTTAAGTGGGGGACTTAAAAAAACAGACAAACTTTCGACGAGAGGAGCGACGAATATCGGCTGGTGCTGGGTGGATTGTTACATCGCAGGATCGTGAGGCTTCGGGGAGGCCATCATCCAGCAGCGGAGAGACCACTGCTGATGGTGATAATGAGTGGTAGAAAGCGGTTGGCGTACCGGTAGGTGCTGTGGTACGTGAAGCCGATAAACGGAAGCTGGTTGCCCAGGAAGGCCTTGGGCACGGAGAAGGCCTCCTCCTCGGCCTTCTCCTGCTCGGAGATGTCGTCGAAGCAGCTGGCGTCCGCATCGCTCGCCAGCTCGGGCACCACGGGGGCGACGGCTACGCGGGGAGACACGGAGACACCACGGGGACACGGGAGGACGGAGAGAGTTATGGAAATGTAGGGACATGGAGACGTGGAGACACAGGGTCAAAGCGACTCAGAGACACGGAGAGCTGGGCGCATGGAGAGACGGGGGACATTGAGACGTGTGGACACGGGAGACACGGGGACAAAAGATCACGGAGACGTGGACAGATGGGGACACGAAGACATGGGGAAATGGCGACATGGAGAGAGAGACGCAGAAACATGGACAGATGGTAAGACGGACAGGTGGAGACGAAGAGAGATACAGATGGATGGGAACGCCGACTAATCAGGACACATATTCTTGGTTCTTTCAGTAAAGTCACATAGAAGGGAAACAATAAAATAATAAAAATATAAAACAATAAAATTATCACGACGTTTCGACTGCAACACGAGCAATCATCATCAGGTGTGAAAACCACAGCAAGAATTGTATTTATTTATCTTTTATCGTTTCCCTTCTACGTGACTTTACCGAAATAACCAAGAATATGAATCCCTGCAGCCACGAAAGCTTTAAATCAAAATTTAATCAGGACACGCTAAAGAACATGGCGAGAGGCACAAGCCGACGTGGACAGACAGAGACACGGGCGGAAGACCACAGAAACGGGGCGAACGCACTCTCTCTGATGTTCTGCCACGTCCACTGGTCATTGCGGAAAAACGGGTGCCTCTTGATCTCATCCACGCCGGTCCGCCCTAGGCGAACCTCCCTGGAACAAACAAACAATACAAATTCTTGGTTCTTTCGGTAAAGTTACGTAGAAGGGAAACAATAAAATAATAAAAATATGAAACAATTGTTTTATATATTTTTTATTGTTTCCCTTCTACGTGACTTTACCGAAAGAACCAATAATATGAATCCCTGCAGTCACGAAAGCTTTAAATCAAAATTTAACAATAAATAAATAAGTAACACCAGCGGGTCGCTGCGAGCCCACGGGACCCAACGCGGAGTCCAGCACACAAGGTGGTGTACTGCTCGCTGTGAGCTATACAGGTACTCATCTACTTAGGAACGAGTTAGGTTCCAGAGGCCTGTTCGTGTGTCCAACTTTACTTCTGTCGATTCCAAACATATTGTACGGCATGTACTCCCTCCTGTAGATGCCACTTGGTTTCTCATGTTCTGTAGATGCAGATGCCACTTGGTTTCTCATGTTCTGTAGATGCAGATGCCACCACCACCGTCTATTGCGCAGCGGTTGAACTTACGACTCTCGGTCCAAACAAAGACAAGGACAGGTTTGTTCGTATCTGTGAAAGTTTGTAAGTGGAATGTTCATAAGTAGAGGAGTCCGTGTACCTGTAACTCTGTTTGTATCGTACAACACTACAGCGGGGACACAAGCCGTGTGTATATACCCGAGCACTGGCCACGCACTTGCACAGGAACCACGGCCAAGTGGGGGAGGGGCAGTGGTGGTGGGCGGGGGAGCGTGAAATCAGCGTGACGCACGGGAACGCGTGCTCAACGCTGTGGGGATGCGAGTGACTCCATCAAGTAGATCCACGCGGCGATGTCACCACCGCGCACTCGCCCGCCCGCCCGCACGCCCGCCCGCACGCACACTAACGAGCAAAACTTTGTTTTGTAATGTAAGTACGATACGCTTCACATTTCACCCGTGTGTTCGTTAACAAATCAAAACGTTCATCAATAAGACCGCCCAGAATCGGAAAGGAAAATGTATTGAGCAACGTTGTGGGCAATGGCCCTTCTTCAAGGCTGATCTTTCTGTTACGAAGAAGAACCATCTGTTGTGAAAGCCCGGCATTCCGTTTGTCCGTCAACTAAATGACGAGAGCCTTTCAGAAGGCCTGAATCTAAAAGTTATATAAAGTGGACCTCCCTCCAGATGTGGGGGTAAAAAGTTGATCCAACAGGTTGACAACAATTGTCGACCTCCTCCCCACAAAACAGTTTCACTCCCCCCTCACCCCCTCCAATAAAAAAGACATTTCTTCTGTAGGCGCTTGCACACCTTACATGCAGTAGAGTCAGTAGTGTCTGCACACTTTGGGGGAGTTGGGGGGGGGGGAAGAAGAGGACATCAACGGGGGCGACGGGAGAGGCGCGAAGCGTCGAGAAGCCCTCGGCAGGAACTAGAATAGGGCGGTCACAGGCCGCCAAAATTCTCGCTATGCAAAATGCCACCCCTTGTACAACATTTCCTCATTCGGGCCACGGTGGTGTTCACGATTGTGTCGAGTTATTTGGTATCTGTGCTTGTACACCACACTGCCAGCACGATATCCCAACAACACTTCCGTGTGCGTCTGTTCGAGAGGGAAGCTCATTTGTCCGTCAGGTTCAAAGCGGTTTTGTGTTGACGCCGTTGAGACCGGGACGATCCTCTCATGGCAAGAGCCGACCAGGTGCCATGCACTGCGATGATGAGCCACGCACAATCTACGAACTTTGACCCACGTAAACAAAAACACGGCCCGAGTGAAAATCAATATTCACGCCACCGCCACCAGAGGGCAGTCGCGACAAGGTCCTCTCCTGTCTTCCGGCGTTTGCCATCGACGGCCAATATCCGAGTCACTTCCTACTCGAGCCTTCTAACTCAAACCTTCTGGCCGCCGTAACGGAGACTCCTCAACAACGTGCCAAGCCGCTCTGCCGGGGCGGAGACGCAGTCACGTGCAGCGGACGTGGCGCACAAGCCGAGACGCTACCAACAATTACCCAAGCTCTGTGGTCCTCTATATATTAATGTTTTCAGACAATTAATTCGGAAAAAAACCCACAGGTGCGAAAGGAGCCAACGCTATCCCACGCCAAAGAGACAGATGTTAGGAGTCCACATTTGCTGTACTGCCTTCTGACGAGCCAGGGTATGGCACCTCGATGCTCACGGGAAGGGAGTTTCGCAACGTTTCTCTGATTCACCAACCCTCGCTGCCTACACGGTGTGCTGGTTTGCAGATGTAACTCACAGCAACAACAAAAATAATCGTCGTGCCGGCGTGCTGGAACATAATTTAGGGAAATTAAAACCAAAAACGATCCAGGGATCTACCCTGCACCCGATGATACAAGTCCACACGTGTGGGCGCAGGATAGGGCCCTGCATCGTTCTTGATGACCAAGTCAACTTGGAACGCACCCGATGACACCGATGAGATCGGGCACATTCCGAGTCCATTTGATCATCGGCTTTGATGGGCACGCATTAGACAGGTGGCCACAGGCCGCTGTGGAGCCACGCGGTGGTCAACAGAAGGCTGTGGCAGCAGCGATGCCGCGCTCCCACTGCCCACAACACAAGGGGGGAGAGGGCCCGTCATCCAGCAGTGGCCTTGACAAACAGCAGGGCTGCGCGTGGCCGCGATTTCGTCGCAAATCTCGAACGGCGCGCGCGACCTTGCTATTCGTGCCCAACATCTTTTTTTTGTCGCCACTATATGGCGGACGTGACCAACGATGGGGGGCGCCCTTGCACAACTGCACATTGGGAGAGAGGGGATGGGTTATACTGGTAGGAACGAAGTTGTAAACTGAGTGTACCAGCCTGCAATAGATTAATGTGTCTGTCCGTCCCCTTTCAATACTTTAACGAAGTGAAATCTCGTGCTGTTGGGTGTAAAATCAGCAATAGACAGCGCAGAGACTTGTCCTACCAGCCCACCCTGCAGGGACCTGTGTCTTATTGTTTGGGGCCAACGTGTATGTATATATATATTCAAACCCCCCCCCGTGGCTCCACAACTGGCTCGCACCTGTCGGTGAGGAAGGCGCAGATGAGGCTGCGCGCCTCTTTGGAGACGCTGGCGTCGTCCGGGAAGCAGAGCGAGTTGCGGTGATCCATGATCTTGCTGTACGTCCCCACGAGCGACTCCGCGTAGAACGGGGTGTCGCCTGCGTGTGCGCAACACCGGCATCGAATGTCGGAACCGAGGCTGTGCCTCCCCTACGTCGACTCGGCTTTGTGCACCGAGTAAATATCAGCACTTGGGAGACAAAGGCGGCCAGGCATGAGAGCAAGCCACACAACCCCCTCGTGTGCCGTGATGACCTTCACAGGTGCCTGCTAACACAGCACTTGGCCAAGACAGCCTGTGTAGGCTACACAGGGGATCTTTGACTTTGTGTGCGTGTATGTAAGCAACTTGGTGGTTGCCTGGGCGGTAACCAGCAATTCTGAGATTTTGGGAAATTTCCCTGGGGCCGATTGACTCCCTGGTCTAAGAGGGGGGGGGGGGTTTAGAATGGTCACGTGCAGTGAGCCAGTACTGTTAAGATCCTGGGTCCAAGCCCTGGGGCTGTGCCTGTCTCTTTCCCTATCTCTGGGGGCTCATGAAGACCGTGTCAAACAAGTTACACAGCAGTGGAAAAGCGTCTGGAACGTTCCTTACGAAATCAGGAAGCAACTGGAGCTATGGACTTTCAAATGTAGGTTTAGTTTGCAGTCCTTCCCCCGCACCTCCGATTAGTGCGGTTGGTTCCGTAGAGTGTGAAAGAAGTTCATCATACATACACACATACACATCTGGGCAACCAATGTGTGCCACTGAACGTGTTGGTGGTATCGGTTCGGCCACGCTAACAACACTCCCCTAGAGCTCATGTCTAGGAGGGCCAACCTCGGTGATTGGCTCGTGTTACATGTGACATGGGGCAGTCTTGCGACACGGGGTGGTCATGTGCACGGTGCGGCGCAATAGCGTCACGTGTGGGGGGAGCGCGATCACATGACCCGAGTCGGTCGACGACGTGGCCCAGAGATCGATCGCGCGACCCGGGGCGGCCGCCACGTGATCGCGGCTCGTCGTAGCCAAACGTCCCCGGTACAGGACCACAGGAGGACCACGGAGCCTCGGGCGATGTTTCTCAGCGTCAATTCCGCCCGCGTTTCACGCTCGCCCACGGCGGTTTCCCGCCGCCGCTGGACGCGAGCCCCGTGGGGTGGGGGGGGGGTGGGGGGGGGGGGGAGGTCGCTCGGCCGCCGTCGCGGGCGGCTCACCGACGAGCATCTCGAAGAGGAAGACGCCCACGGACCACCAGTCGCACTCGCGTCCGTAGTAGCCGTCCCCGCCCTGCGACTTGAGAACCTCGGGGGAGATGTAGTCCGGCGTGCCCACCGCCGTGTTGGAGCGCACCATGCCCTCCTGCGCAGACAAAGGTCGCCCACCCCCCCCCGCGGAGCCTTTAACGGGGGCGTTGGGGCGAGTGCCGTCACAGCGAGTGGCGCGGCACACGAGGGGGCGGGGGCGGCCGGCATGACGCGTCCGGCCGCCTCCGTTGTCTCCCCCAGTGGCGATGTTGACGCGCCGCACCGGGTACTCATTGAAGGACCGAGTCGACCGCGTGCACGTTTAGATGCGCGAGTGCGTTGGTGCACGGGTATGTGTACGTATACACGGGCACGCGCAGAGGTACACATCATCACATATGCACCCGCACGTGCACACATGCACGCATGCATAATTGTAACAAAGACAAAGATGCCCCAATAGCCTGCCCAGACTGTTGAGGCAAGTGCTGTTCGCATGGGACATTTGTTTTTGTGCCAATTTCTATTCGTTGCACCGCTGTACTTTATTAGATTCGCAGGCCACTCTTGCGAAGGAGACTCATCCTGCCCTCCCGCTGAGGTTCTCACCCTTGGTCACACGCGAAGCAGCAAACCTGATCACCACTTGGGGAGACAAAGGTGGCCGGGCGAGCCGGCGAAGGCCAAGTAGGGGAGTGAGGGTGGGGGCGGGCGGTTAAGCGGCTCACTCACGGCGTCCATCTTCATGCAGGTGCCGAAGTCGGCGAGCTTGAGGTGGCCGAGCCTGTCCAGCAGCATGTTGTCCGGCTTGATGTCCCTGCACCGAAGACACACGTCCCCGCACACAGAGGTCCACTGCACAGCCTTTAACGGACACCGTTGGCGCATTTGCTGATAGCGTGCGACCCATCAATCCTTTCCCGTCACGATGACGTCCGCAAAATTGCAGGGTGTGTGGTGTCCCGTTCGCACCCGAATCTCAGCACGTGCAAGCGGTCCAGGGTTAATGGTATTTAGAGAGGTGTAGCGGTGCTGTTGTTTTTAAAGACGTTGTACTCACCCCGGAGAACTGTAGCGACACGACCGCCACCCTACGATAGCTGGCGCCGAACTGTGCCACGCGCATCACTCACTCACTCTCTCCAAGCTTTCGCGGTCGCAAAGTCACGAACGCCGTCAACGAAATTCAAAGACGCGTTTTAGTTTTTTTACGACTGGCCGTGCTACCGTCACTCCGCTGTTACTTCAATAGGGAACTGAGGGCCCAAAGGAGCACCTACACAACATGAGGGCCTGAGGCCTCATTGGCCTACGAGTCAATCCGGCCCTGTTGGCACCAGGGACGTGGCGGGTGCCCACCGGTGGATGAAGCCCATGGAGTGGATGGCGTCGAGGGCCAGCACCACTTCGGCCGTGTAGAAGCGTGCCCACTTCTCGGGGACGTCGTAGTTGCTCATGAGGCTGACGAGGTCACCCCCCGGCATGTACTCCATCACCATGTAGAGGTAGCGCTCGTCCTGGAACGCCGAGAACAGCTGGGCAGAGAGCGGGGGAGGGGGGGGAGCTCGATTGTGAGATGCAATTTTCGTGAACGACGCGATATAAAATTCATCATCACGATCCATGGGCAGATAGCCCCGTAGGTGTCCACTGCACATTTCCTCATTTGTTTCCGCTTTCCTCTCTGTCTTGTGTCAATATGGGTCAAGTAGTGGCCACATCTTCCTCGCACCAATCTCTTAATGTCGTCGTCAACCCATTCTCTGTTAGCTCTTCCTCTCTTTCCATGCAGAACTAAACACTGTTACTCTCCCCGCACTGCCGGTATTATGAAATATTCTTTCTACCCATGACGACAGTTTCCTGGTATGTTGTGTCTTCGAGGTGCCACCCCTAGCGGCGAGCGACGCTGCCCGTGACCGGGAGCCGAACCCAGGGGGACCGGCATCGTACCGCGGCGTGCCTAACCCCTGCACCACCCACCACTCACGGCGATCATCACCAGCACCACAACCACCGGCGGTCGCGCGCTGGCGGTGGGGGGTGGGGCGTGGGAGCGGCACGAGACCGGGAGTCGAACCTGGATGATCCAGGAGCTGTTGGCGAAGGCCATGATGTCCCTCTCCTCCCAGAAGAAGGCCGAGTCGGAGCGCTTGAGCATCTCGCCCTTGTTGAGCCGCTTCATCGCGTGGACGCGCCGTGTCTGCTTGTGCCGCACCTGCGTCGCGCCAAGGGACACCGGGATATGAGGCACCGGCACATCATCACGATCATCATCATAATGAGGTACGGCACATCATCACGATCATCATCATAATGAGGCACGTCACATCATCACGATCATCATCATAATGAGGCACCGGCACATCATCCTGATCATCATCATCATCATAATGAGGCACATCACATCATCACGATCATTATCATAATGAGGCAAGTCACATCATCGTGATCAGGGGTCGCCAACCTGCGGTTCCGGAGCCTAAACGGGGCTCTTCATCATCGTCACCGTAATAATAAAAGGTAAAGGCTCAGCCACTGCCAATTATCCGAAAGAATCCACAGATTTGCATCCAAGAGCGACTTTGGATGGCACAGCGACCAAACTTACCAGCTGCACCACACCGAAGGCTCCTCTGCCGATCACCTTGAGGAGCTCGAAGTCGTGGACGTTCATGCGCAGGTCGTGCACCTTGCCCACCGCCTTCTCATCTGTGCGGTGACACACGCGGGCGGTGTCCCGTTGGCCAAGGCGCACGCTTCAACTCGATTTCGCACAACCAAGGTGAGTGTCGGCCAGACAGCGGCCCGCTTCATCTCACCCACCGCAGTGTCGACAACGACACCGCAGAGTCACGACAACTCGCTCGCTCACGCACACTTACGCTCGCTCATTCGCTCACTCGCCCGCTCGCACGCTGACTCGCCCGCTCGTCCGCCGACCCGCTCATCACACAGCAGCTCACAACGCTTAAAGTTCTGCTTCTTCCCTCACACTGCTCCATCTTGGATTTCCCTCCTCCTCTTCCCATCATCATCATCTTCAGCATCTTACAATAATAAGGATAACCTTGCACAATGCAAGAAATGTGTTAATGCCCATCCATGACAACCTTTAATGCGCTGTCAACCCCCGATTAATTATGCAGGAGGCAGCAGCAGAGGATTACACTCACACACTTCGAGTCTTCTCCATGGCATTTGAACAGCGACAGACCACGAGCGTGCACGTGTGCGTATGTGTGTGTGTGTTTAAGGAGCGGTAGTGTTGCAGTTGGCGCACTGTGCTATAAATTTAGCAACCCGAGTGCGATTCCGATACACGGCTAACATCAGCGGCGGGTGAAATCCGAACCAGTTCTGTGCCACAGCGCTGTCCAGCACGGACAACATGTCGCGGGGGGAGGCCTTCACCCAGCTGTTAATTGACAAATGGCTGTAACAAAAAGAAAGCGTTCGAGATGTGTAGAAATCACATATATACCTTGAGTGCACAGAGTGGATTATGGGTCCCGATTTTGCCTGTACGCAACAACGAGTGGGTGACACTTCACCGGCAGTGGTGCACAAGGAGACACAATGAAGACAACTCGATGGATTCGCCGCTAACGACACCCCGAAGAACAACGCATTACGGATGGGCGACGTTCAGGGCGACAGGCCCCATGGGTCACGGATCACTGTCTCGGACTCCTTACTTCAACTATAAACTAAAATAATATTTAATTTGAGCGGGTAAGGCCCACCGAGCTGCGTAGCTCTTTTTCAGAAGCCACCCTGGCCACAAGTGATGGCTCAACCAAGTGGCTTATCACGTGGAAATGTAGAGCAGCCAAATACTTTAAACGCATATTTCTGACTGCGGAGGGAAATACCGGAGGACGACAGAGGAAAATCCACGCGACCACGGAGAGAGAGGACACGCAAACTCCAAATATACTGGTGTCAGGGTCGGGATCGACCCCACGACCTCCTGTATACCAGGCGAGGTAGTTAACATATCCTAGCCACCGTGATGATGATGAGAGAGAGAGAGGACACGCAAACTCCAAATATACTGGTGTCAGGGTCGGGATCGAACCCACGACCTCCTGTATACCAGGCGAGGTAGTTAACATCTCCTAGCCACCATGACACCCTGGAATGTCTCCTCTCATAGAATTTATCAGAATCAGAACGTTTATTTATCCTGGAGGAATCTGATGATGCTTTGAGGCTCTTTTTCACAGATGTCCAGTAGGGGTGGGTCAGCAATTTACAACCACGAATAAATAAGTATGAGAGCAAGATGGAAAAAAGGTAAGCAATTCAAGTCAAAATAAATAAATTTAAATTAAGCATAGAAGTGCAAAACAGCAATAACAACAACAATCCGAGACCACACCAAGACAACAACAACAACAATCCCAGACCACACCAAGACAACAACAACAACTCCCAGACAACACCAAGACAACAACAAACAGTCCCTCACAATTACATGAACACTGACTATCGATAAGGTACGTGAGTAACGTTCAAAGTCACAAATCACATTTGCAAAATGTGTCCTTTATCCGGCAACAATCTTCTGCCTCAGGAAACATTTTGTTTTGAAGGCAGACTGACGATGTCAAGGGACGAAACGAGGGTTGTCTCAGAGTACCGGTGCTGCAACAGGCGAAGTCTGTTTGCTCCCTCGCTTAGCGGCGGTGTTACTGCCCAGTGATTTAATTGTTCGTCTTCCCGCTCTTGTTTATACGTCTCAAGTGGCATTCATTACGAATCTGCCACCTCGCCGGGACCTCCCGGGATTCAAGACGGAATCTCACGGGCCGCTCCCCGCCGATGAAGTGCAACGTCAATTATTCAAGCAGCGCTGTGTCGGTGTGGGGGGTGGGGGCCTCGTCACATTCACGACGACGCTAACATCTCCCCCCCCCGCCGCCAAGTGATTTCCAACAGCACTCTGGGTCAAGTGTCAAGTCGATGTTGTCGCGTGGCCAGCTGGCGACAACTCCGGCGTGACCAGGATGAGTCTCGTTTTGTGTGCGAGAGTGACTGACGTGGGTCGCGATGAAAACGATGACAAAACAAATAAATAATAACAAGAACAAAAACAATGAAGGGCACACCAACATAAACCAGAGGGGAAACCACCGCGTCCGCGTGAGCTATCAAGGCTACTGCACAGACGATCACATTGTCGAATTCGCAGCGGCAAACACACACACACAATTTAAGTATTCTACGTACACACGTGATCACATTACCCGGAATGCGCGCGAAATCATCGGATCTCGGAAGCTAAGCTGGGTTGAGCCTGGATAGCGCTGGGATTTGTGGCACCACCGAGCTAAAAAAAGCAGCGTGTTGCAGGCTCCGTTGTCGCCAGAGGGCAGTGCAGCAACGCCCATCGTTGTACTGCATTTCTACGCTCCAACAACTATGCTCCTCCCCGCCTTTCACCAAACCGGCATGGAACAACGTGGTGAAGTACGGTCAAATAGCCCCCTCACAAGCCCACACGGCGCGGCGAGGCCCTCATCCAGCAGTAGATTGTCAAAAGGGCTGCACGCGTGCGGTCATAACCCAGGCACGGTACTGCCACAGCAGTCATCACACGTTGACCAGGGTGGACAACGGCCAGCGGAGGACTTTCAGCGTAACCTTGTGAGGGACTGGGATCAACGCCGGACTGAGCGAATGGCCCATCCACTGCTGGATGAAGGCCAGCGACGAGATGTGGCCCAACGACCCTTACAGCCGAACGGGGCGCTGTCCCGTGGGGGAGCCCTTCGTCCAACAGTGGAACGGCAAAAAGGGGGCTGTCAATTCAACAATTTATTCATCATTTATTTACTTGCATGGGTTATCATTTAATATTCCGAGCGCGTCAATAAACACGTGACGCGCGTCAGCCTGGATGCGTCGGTGTATAAGGAAATGTTGCCGGGTCTTGGGAGGGGGGGGAGTCGGGGGGGGGGGGGGGGGCAGCCGACGGGAAGTGTCGTTGAGTTTTGCTGCTGACGCTGCGCAAGCGACGTCAGCTTGTAACACGGCGCCACCGCACGACACTCGCACGCCCGCCCTGGCGGTACTCACTCGCACGCCCCCCCCCCACTCCCCCCCCGTGGTACTCGCACGCCCGTCCGCCCGCCCCCCGTGGTACTCGCACGCCTGCCCTGGAGGTACTCACCCGCGCAGGAAGAGAACGACTCCCAGCTCCGAGGAGCCACAGACGAGGAGCGGGAAAGGAAGGAGGGCAGCAGCAAAGCGGCGAGCCGGTGCCAAATTCTCCCCCGCCAAGCTCTGCCGTCCTCTACACATCAAGGTGTTATCGGCCAATTCGTGAGCGATTACTACATGCGGGAGGAAACCGGAGAAAACTCACACGTGCGAGGGGGCCAAAGCTATCCCACGCAGAAGACACGGATGACACGAGTCCACATTTGCTGTACTGTCTTCTACCTGCGAGCCAGGGTATGGGCTTCCTCCTCGACGCCCAAGGGAAGGGAGTTTCGCAACATCTGTGTGTGATCCACCAACAACCCTTGCCGCTGTCTCCACGGTGCTGGATTACGGACAGCCACGTGTAGCACCAGCAGCAGCGTAGCCACCGCCGCCCGGACTCATTCGAGAAGATGCCACGTGGGAAGTAGGGGGCTCGGTGGGTTTGTAACGGTAACATCGGAGGCAACGAGCCAGCACCGACAACAATGAACAATCAGAATCGGCCATGGTCACTCCGCTGCTGGATGAAGGCCTTCCCAAGCCGTGAGCGGTCAAGCTCTGGAGCGCCGGCATCCCGAGACTTACATCTGTTGAGGAAGCTTTCAATGTTCTTGTTCTTGCGCAACGCCGGGAAGTCCAGGTCCTGCACCAAGGCCTCAAAGCCATCCTGCGGGAGAGACAGGAAACGTGTCACTGTTAGTCGTCGTTAAAAAATAAATTCACAATTAATCAGCACTAACAGACGTGATCTGTCCACTGCTGGATGAAGGCCTCCCCAAGCCGTCGCCGCCTCTCACGGTCTCACGACAAGAGCATCCGTCCAGCGCCCGCTCACGGAGCCGGTTTTTCGCGGTTCCGTCTCCGCGGCGAGCGTGGTCCAGGCCGTGGTCTCGCCCTCGTGATGCCAAACCGTCGTGGGTCTTGGTCTCTGGCCATGAGATCGTTCTTGTGACGAGTTCCTGTCAATGCCCACTCAACTCTCCTCAGCGTTTCTCTTCCTGCCTCCCGGTGTGCATTCCAAGTGTGCCTCTCTCCGACGCTTCTTTGCGCACTCTGCCAACTGCGCGGCATCGCGTGGAATTGGATCGTGTATGAGTACACAACTCTGTGGGTCTGTACGCAAGTCTACGGACCATGTAAGAGTATGCAAGTGTGTGGATCTCCATGCAAGGGCGTTATGTGTTGCCAGGTCGCTTCTGGAAAATAAGTTCACAACCTCAGTGGGGGGCCTTTACCTGCTAAGATAACAAAAAAAGTTTAATTGGTATATTTTAAGTGAGTCGTTTACCTTTCCTCTACTTTGGACTCCTATCGTGTTTGCGTCGTGTTTGTTGTTGTAACGGTCTGACCTGCCCCAAACGAACATCTCTGAAAAAGAGCTTCATACTCTTTGGTCTTTTTCGGTAAAGTCACGTAGAAATAAGAAATAATAAAATTACGCAATAGCGTACGACGTTTCGATTGCAACACAAGCAATCATCATGAGTCACGAAAGCGCCAAATCAAGTAAGAGCTTCATAGCTCATCAGATTGCTCCAGTCACAAGTACAGAGATTCCCATGTGACCTAGAGAAGAGGCGCGGCGGAATGGAAGCACGTGGGAGGCACAGAAACTACTCCGAGCTGCCGACGCCACGCATCAACGGCTCAGAAAGAGAGAGCCCACAAATATTTCTCTCATTTCCCACAGGCAGAACGAACGCCGCCCCGCGGCGCTAAAGAACGTCATGATGTGCTTCCGTCGCCGTCTGGAACGCACTTCCTTCCGATATTAGGACAGCACTGGAGCTACGCACTTTTAAATCTAGATTTGAAAACCCATTTCTTCAAAACGGCTTTCTGTGTTGAGCACGGTTGTTCACGTGCGCTGCGGAAGAAGTTGGACATACACGCGCACGTACAGTGCCGAGTGCGAGCGTTCGGTCAATAAAGGAAGCGGCCAGTGAACGCGCGCTCCTGTAACGGCGCATCCTGGAGGCGGGGGGGGGCCAGGATGCGCAAGCCGCCGCGTCATCGCTTCCTCTTGGCCAAGGGAGAGGCGCGCGGGCGCACGCTGAGCCCCGCAGATAACCACGGGCGCCCCGAAACACCGCGGGCGACGCGCGAACGCGGGCGGGCGGGCGGCCGGGCGGGCGGGCGCCCCGCGCAGCCGCAGGGGAAATGGAGTGGCGCAGGCGGATGAGAATTCCTGGGGTCCGTTACGAAAGCCAACCTCTGCCCGGGGAAGGGGACAGCGCGCCCTCGATAGCACGCGGGGCGGTGGAGGGGAGAGGGACCCGTGTCCCGCAAACTACCGAGGGGGGGGGTTTTGGGTAGAAAAGTTAGAGATTTTAACAATTTTGAAATTACATCCCCGAAGCTCGATGATGATGATGATGATAACAAAAATGGGGCGTATGATGATAACCAGATATTACCAATAAAAAGACTGGATTATTTTGACAATTACGGGAATAACAATGATACTAAAATACTGCCAATGAAGTCGGTATTGGTTTAATAAATGCCGATGATGAATACAATGACGGCAAGACATATGGACTTGTAGTCTTCCTATTGCAAGCCAAGTGCTCATACTTGCACACACAGACACACAGACACACACACACAGACATGCAGACAAACAGATACACACACATACAGACAGACACACACACACAGACAGACAAACATACATACAAACAAACAAACACGTACACAACTCCTCTCTCCTCCTCGTCTTCTCGCCTCCCCTCCTCTATCTTCTCCTCTTCCCTCCCCCTCTCTCCTAAGACCCTCCCCATCCCATCTCTCCTAAGACCCTCCCCATCCCATTTCTCCTAAGACCCCCCCCCATCCCCTCTTTCCTAAGACCCTCCCCATCCCCTCTCTCCTAAGACCCTCCCCATCCCATCTCTCCTAAGACCCTCCCCATCCCCTCTCTCCTAAGACCCTCCCCATCCCATCTCTCCTAAGACCCTCCCCATCCCATCTCTCCTAAGACCCTCCCCATCCCCTCTTTCCTAAGACCCTCCCCATCCCATCTCTCCAAAGACCCTCCCCATCCCATCTCTCCCCACAGGTCCAGTGGCCCGGCCCCGTCCAGCGAAGCTTAACCGCAAGGCCCCCCCCCACTCTTCCCTCCCCCCCCAACCGCTCCCTTCCCCCCCCCGCTCCCTTCCCCCCCCCCGCTCCCTTCCCCCCCCCCCGCTCCCTTCCCCCCCACCCCTCCACCCCGGCCCAGCGACTGACGTCAGAAACCGAGACCCGCGACCAAAAGCCCAGAGGCAGCTCCATGTTTGGCGTTGATGGTCGAGGGGCGTTGGGGACACGAGCCAGGGCCCAGCGGCACGGCCAGGGCTGGGGGAGGGGGGGTACTCAGACGGTGGCGAGTAAGCGATGGCATCGTTCGTTCGTTCGTTCATTATTGTTGTTGTTGCAATAACTGTGTTCCGGACCCAGCGAAGGAGAGTTTTAAGATTGATGCGAATCATTGGCGATACACCACGCGATGCGCGGTACGATGTCGGGGCGCGTCTACCGTGAGCAGCGAGTGACACCAGAACCGGTGCTACGCCTCCCCCACTGACCAGCGTGGTGAAGTATGGTCAAACAACCCCCTGTGACAAATCGGACGTGGGGAGGCCTGCATCCAGCTGTGGGACTGTACATTCACCGCGTGATGATTCCAAACAAAGCGTTCCTCTTCTGTGCGAGTAGATGTTGAGTCAAACGGACGGGGAAGACTTTCATGAACAGGCGAGAAATTTTGTTCAAATAAGCACAGCGAGCACAGAGCGCAGACCCACAGACTCGTAGAGACCCACAGACTCATGGAGAGACCCACAGGCTCATGGAGAGACCCACAGGCTCATGGAGAGACCCACAGGCTCATGGAGAGACCCACAGACTCATGGAGAGACCCACAGACTCATGGAGAGACCCACAGACTCGTAGAGACCCACAGGCTCATGGAGAGACCTACAAACTCACAGAAAGAACCACAGACTCGTAGAGACCCACAGACACATGGAGAGACCCACAGGCTCATGGAGAGAGCCACAGACTCACAGAAAGAACCACAGACTCGTAGAGACCCACAGACTCATGGAGAGACCCACATACTCGTAGAGACCCACAGACTCGTAGAGACCCACAGACTCATGGAGAGACCCACAGACTCACAGAAAGAACCACAGACTCGTAGAGACCCACAGACTCATGGAGAGACCCACAGACTCATGGAGAGACCCACAGACTCGTAGAGACCCACAGACTCGTAGAGACCCACAGACTCATGGAGAGACCCACAGACTCATGGAGAGACCCACAGACTCATGGAGAGACCCACAGACTCGTAGAGACCCACAGGCTCATGGAGAGACCCACAGACTCATGGAGAGACCCACAGACTCGTAGAGACCCACAGACTCATGGAGAGACCCACAGACTCGTGGAGAGACCCACAGACTCGTAGAGAGACCCACAGATTCGTAGAAACCCACAGGCTCATGTAGAGACCCACAGGCTCATGGAGAGACCCACAGACTCATGGAGAGACCCACAGACTCGTGGAGAGAACCACAGACTCGTAGAGACCCACAGAGTCATGGAGAGACCCATAGGCTCACAGAAAGACCCACAGACTCGTAGAGACCCACAGGCTTGGAGGGACCCACAGACTCGTAGAGACCCACAGACTCATGGAGAGACTCACAGACTCGTAGAGACCCACAGATTCGTAGAGACCCACAGACTCACAGAAAGACCCACAGACTCACAGAAAGACCCACAGACTCATGGAGAGACCCACAGACTCGTAGAGACCCACAGACTCGTAGAGACCCACAGACTCACAGAAAGACCCACAGACTCACAGAAAGACCCACAGACTCATGGAGAGACCCACAGACTCACAGAAAGAACCACAGACTCGTAGAGACCCACAGACTCACAGAAAGAACCACAGACTCGTAGAGACCCACAGACTCACAGAAAGACCCACAGACTCATGGAGAGACCAACAGACTCACAGAAAGAACCACAGACTCGTAGAGACCCACAGACTCATGGAGAGACCCATAGACTCATGGAGAGACCCACAGACTCGTAGAGACCCACAGACTCGTAGAGACCCACAGACTCATGGAGAGACCCACAGACTCGTAGAGACCCACAGGCTCATGGAGAGACCCACAGACTCATGGAGAGACCCACAGACTCGTGGAGAGACCCACAGACTCGTGGAGAGACCCACAGACTCGTAGAGACCCACAGACTCATGGAGAGACCCATAGGCTCACAGAAAGACCCACAGACTCGTAGAGACCCACAGGCTCATGGAGGGACCCACAGACTCGTAGAGACCCACAGACTCATGGAGAGACTCACAGACTCATGGAGAGACCCACAGGCTCACACAAAGAATCACAGACTCGTAGAGACCCACAGGCTCATAGAGAGACCCACAGGCTCACACAGAGACCCACAGCCTTACAAAGAGACCCAATAGCCTTACAAAGGTAACCATAGCCTTACAAAGAGGCGGGGAGTGGCTGGGCGGCTCGGAGATCATAATGCTGCGGTGAGATCCTGGGTTTGAATTCAGGTCACCTACGATTGGAAAATAATAATAATAATTTAGCTCTGCACTTAATTCAGCCAAATACCAGCTCGGAGATTTAAAAG